AGTTTCTTTTGTATTTTCTATCGACATCAATAAATATGTTTATAGGAATTTTTGTAGATTTTTCAGACCACTTCTAATGTCGTAAATTTAAGATGTGCCATCTTTTTGAAACAGTGAAAAATTGAAAATTATTTTATAAAAAATTTTTAAAAAATGGTTTTTTCGCTCGGGTCTTTTTAATAGCATTATATTGATCAAACCTAATTACAGAAAAAATTTCAAACGAAATAGACACTTTTCCGTTGACTTATGTCGAAAAAACATGGTGTGCCATCTTTTTGAAACGCAGTGTAGTCTATAAATATAATACCATAGAAAAGTTTTTTGGAAAAACAAAATTTGAAACTGTTGAAATTAAACTTAATTTTTAAATTTATTAAACTTTATTTCGGTTCTACATCCACATTTTGGGTATGTGTGTAAAAAATTAGATAATGATATAGATTAATCAAGTTGAGGATAACAAAAACCGTAGCCTCGTTTTTAATTAAATTTTTATCTAATTATTTGCACTAAAAATGCGTATTTAACGGCAGTCTTTTTGCCTTTAAAAATGTTATTTTTTTGTATTGTTAGGATTTTCGTTTATAAACGAAAATCTCTCTTTCCTTAAACTCAACCACTCCTATTTTGAATGGCCATAACTCGGCCCAAGGTCATTTTGCAAAAAGCCAGCACCACAACTCAATAGAAAGTCGATGGTCCTCTATCGATGGTACCAAAAAAACTACCAAATTTTTGTACACAGTATCCGATGTTTCCTGTAAGTATTTTATTTTACAACCCCCCCCCCTTCCCTTCCTCCAATTATTTTTATATCTTCTTTAATTTTTTAATTTTTAGTTTTCTACATATATTCCTTTTTTTCCTCTATAAAAATGTTAAACATTTTTGTATATATAAAATTAGAGCCCGGACCGTACCGTACTACGGCCGTATTTTTCGGTATTTATCGGTATTCCGTATCGGTAGTACGATACGGAATACCGACCGATAAAATTTTCAAGTTTATCGGTATTTATCGGTATCGGTATTTTTCGGTATTCCGTATCAGTAATACGGTACGGAAAAACTAAAATACCGATGATACCGACCGATGAAATTTTTCAAAATTTTATTATATTTTAAGGGAAAAAAGGCTTCTTGGCCATTGAAAATTCTCACAATTTTTGCCTGCGGCGCTATAATAGGATGAACTATAACTTCTTGGACTTGCAAATTCTCAAGATTTAGAAGTCAAAATTTCAAAATCAGAAAAATTAAGAAATATTTCTCTTTGTTTTCGAAAATTTCACAAGATTTTCGTCTGCGGCGCTGAAAGTGTTGAGGTCCGATGGACTGATATACATAGAAGGATTATGAGTAATTAAGAATGGATTTAGCGGATTAACAGATATATCGAGAGGGTTTGTGATGATTAAGTAAATTTGTGTGGATTAAGTGGATTAATGGACTATTTAGAGGTTACCGTATATGCTCGAATAATTACCCTGGGTAATTATTGTTTCAACTTCTCGCTAGACGGGGTAATTATTTGAGAGGGGGTAATTATTTGAGCTTTTTTTAAACAGGCTAATTATAACTATTTTTAGGAGGGGTAATTATTTTTTCAACCTCTCGCTACATGGGGTAATTAATTGAGAGGGGGCAATTATTTGAGAGAGGGTAATTATTCGAGCATATACGGTACGTTCAATTGAAGGGATTAAGAGATATCTGGCTTTGGGGTTTAACAGGGATATTGGGGATTTGAAGGTTAATTGCTGATTATGAAGAGTAAGGAGGAATTCTACGGTTAATCTACTGATATTTTTTAAATCCACTTATATCCACCACAATCATCATATCTCCGGATCACCCTTAATAGTACAAATCTAACGATATTACCCTTAATCCTTAGATATCAATTCAAATCTCCTTAATCCCTCAAAATCTATCTAAAACCCTCTAAATACTCAGATATCCCTACAAATCCATATTAATCCCTGGAAATCCTCAATATACGACTTTATCCCTATAAATTGATATATAAAAATAATTATTTTTTAATAAATTAATTTTTTAAAATAAGGTACGGAATACCGATAAATTTTTATCGGTATTTATCGGTATCGGTATTTTTCGGTATTCCGTATCGGTAATACGGTACGGAAGAATTTTGAATTTCATCGGTATTTATCGGTATCGGTATTATACGGTAGTACGGTACGGAATACGGTACGGTACGAAATTCCGGGCTCTATATAAAATGTTTGTCTTGTGTAAAACAATTTTTTGGCAAATTGCCCAAAAAATAAATAAAAAAAAGAATTCAACTAAATAAAAGAAATATTTTAAAGTTGTTAAAGCCAGAAAGAGGGAAGGGGGGGGGGAGGGAGAATAAAATAAAAACTCTCGAAAGAAAAACCCATAAAATTTATAAAAGAATTTGTGTTTAGGTAGAGTTCTTATTGATAAAATAACTAAAAATCTTTTTATTTCTTAAAAAATTTTTTTTCAACTTCCGACGTTCTTTTATGTTTGTCTGGGACATAAAAAACAAAAAAAAGCTTCCCAAAATCCTTCACAATCATTAAATATTTAAATATTTTTTTTTCATTTTTTTCTTTTAAATCCCATCAAAAATATATAAAAAAGATAAATTATTTTCAAGTGTCGGTTACTAAAAAGAAGGCAGGCACACATAAACAATTCGGATATGCCATCCAAAATTCTTTTCTTTTTGTCACAATACTCATGAGAAATGACAAAAAGGCAAGCACACGCAATAATTTTTGAATACTTGACATTTTTTTGAATTTTTTAATCCTTCATTTTTTTGTTATTCCAAACATTTATCTAAATGATTTATGCCGTCGAGACGGTCATAGGGGTTTTTTAATTCAAAAAAGAGACGGTTTCTTAAAAGGCAACATTCAAAAAAAATTTAAAGAAAGGATTGATAAACTGCTATTGTTAAGTTAAGTTTTTAACCACAAAATGGAAATTTAGAAAGGGAAAACTAATTTAAAAAGAGTTTTCGTTAAATTTATTATGTATTTTTTGACACATCAATGCCAACATTAAATATTTTATTTTGTAAAATAAAAATAAAAACATGGAGGGTTTTTTAATTAAAAATACTTTGATCTATACCTAAAATAATCTTTATTTATTTCTCATAATTTCTTTTAAATTTTCTTTAATTAAAAGTTATTTTTAAATAATTTTTTAAGTCCTTGAGACTTTTTTGATCAAAAACTTTAAAAGTTTTTATTTTAAATATTCTTTTTTGAGCGAATATTCCTTTTAAGTGTGTCAAAAATACTAGCAGTATTGACCTCTTCTCGTCTGCCCATTGAGGAAAATATTTAAAAATTTAAAGAAAAAAAATTTATTTATTTTTTTGTAATAAAGGTTACTTTACATTTATTTTTTATTTAAAGTATGACAAAGCATAAATTGGGCTTTGAATGTATAAAAATTATTTTTTAACAAAATATTTATTTTATTTAAATATTTTAATAATTGTAGGGGGGAGGGAGGGTGTATCCCGACTAGGGTTATCAATTTCAAACCGAACCGAAAAGCCGAAGATTTTCGGTTCAGCTTTTTTTGTCGGCTCAGTTTCGGTTAACTAAAGAATTTGGTGAAACCAACAACCATAATCCCGACTAATTGAGAATCCAAATTAATTATTAAATTTTCTAGAATATTAAGCCTTTTCTTATTTTAAATTCTAAGCTAACTAAATTAAAAATATATTTAATGACTTTCTCTACTTTCTTTTATTAAAAATATTTACATACATATTCTTTTATCGATGACTCAACTTTTAATATTATTTGCGTAAATGAATTTATATTTTTTATTTGACATGGAAACGTTTATTATACACTTTATAATTAAAAACTGGCAAAATAAGCGCGCGGCAAATATATAGCTTTTTTTACTTTTAAATTGTAAAAAATGTCCAATATTTATTTTTATGGGTGAGAGAATATTTTACTGATATGTATGTAGATATTAAATAAATTTAACAAAATTTAAATAATTCAACTTAATTTTAGGCTCTTTACTTCATTTATTACTGTCTTTCATTCCTCTCTAACGAAATTCTAAAAAGAATTTTTTGTTTTCCACTTTCAATTCACCAACAAAAATTTCATTATTATTATTATCCTTATATTAAATTCCTTAATTTTTCAAATACAAACCCTAATTTTAAAGTTCATTTCATTAAAAAGTGCCACACAATTACTAACTACCCCTCTATTGTTCTCCTTTTTATTTCATTTTCTCTCATTGTTTTAAAAGTGCTTTTTAGGTAGAAAATAAAATAAAAGTTTATTGTTTCCTTCCTTTAATGCCTACATATTCTGCCGTGAGAAGCAAATCCGGTCGCTCTTTGGCCGCAATGGACGGTTGGTTGTGTAATTACGTAAACAAGCATTATTGTTGGTTAGAAAAATAAAAAAATATTTTAGCAATGAAAAACAGAAACAACAACAGAAAAACACATTCATTCATCTCTTTTCCTTCTCCTCCCTCCTCTAAATTTTTTCCATCTGTCAGCATCTTCTAGTTATTTTTCACTCACATTACCCCGCCATTTACAATTAATTCTACACCACATACACACCCAAAAAACCTTTAAAAGGTGTTGATAATTTTTTGAAATAAAAACCAAAGCCAATAAATAAAATACCCCCCTCCCCCCTTCCTTTTTTTCATCTTTTCCTCCTACTCATTTTTGTAGAAAACTTTTTTGCTATATAATTTTAAAATTTAACAAACTCCGGTTTTTCATTTTCTTGAAGAGTTTATAGGCACACTAAAGAGACTCCCCCCCCCATTCCCCACACACATAAATATTTATTCCATGCCCATCAACATCAACCACTATTTTTTAATCGTATCTTACAAACAAACGACCACCGTTTTATTTTTTTCTTTACAATTTTCATTTTTCTGCCATTTTCGCCGCGAAATTGATGATGGGTTGTGCAGAAAATAAAAAAGGAAAAAAATGGAAATTGAGAAATTTATGCAAAAAAGGAGAAGACGAAGGAGGAGTAGCACCGCCGAAGGGTTAAGAGAAGAGCAGCCAGACTCCCCTAAAAAGAGGACAGAAAATAAAGGCGATGACGGCGCCAACATTAACTATTTTAGAAAGAAGAGGAAGAACAGGTTCCACTCCTTCTCGTTGCTTTTTGTTAATTCGGCCTCGGCCCTGAAGGAGGCCATTTTGTGGTATATGTTGATGATTTTTGTTGGGGGAAGATGGAGGGGGATATGTTCATAAAATTTGAGAGACAGAGGAGGGGATAGATGAGAATAAAAGGATTGTCCTCCAAAACTCTCACAAACACTCTTTAAAAGCTATGAAAAAAAGAAGAAAACTGTGAGATGAAAGATGAAATTTATTTTTCAGTATATAAAATAACAACTGTGCCCCTCACAAGAGTCTCTGCTTTTGCTTGTTTACGTTTTTGTGAGGTATTTTAAATATAAGTTTTTTTTAGTTTTTTTGTGTGGCGTTCCTCTCATACATAAATAAAAATTTTGGAAAGTGTACTAAGGGGAATATCTATTCTTTTAGATAATTCTGATCAACATTTCCTTTAACTAAAAAGAATTTGATGTTTGGTTATTGATTTTGTAAAGAGATCAAATGTCAAATTTTTTCTTAGTTTTAGAGGGGAATAAATAATCTTTAGAAAATCTCTTTTTAAATAAAAGCTCTTTCTTTGATTCATCCAATTTTCTAATCATTTTCTTTCCTCTTTTTCCTCACATAAAGTTTTATATTAAAACTTTATCCCAAATATTTGAGCCGAGAGGAGAACTACTCTTCCCTATAATTAAAAAATTTTTTTCTTAAACCTCAACGTCTTATTTAAAAACTGGAATATTTATTATTGAATTCGAGTATCTACATACATCAGAATTTTTACAATATTACAGACTTCTCACACAAACTTCGCTTTTATTCCCTCTGTGTATATTAACAAAATGCAGGGTATCGGAAATAGTTGAAAAGATAGATTACTTATATCTCTTAAATAAAAACATTTTTCTCTTTAGTCTTTATATCTTATTTTAAGCCAAAAATGTTTTATTAAAAACAACGGTCAACATCACACATTTAGCCGTAAACTCCGCTTTTCCTCCTCCGTCTCTCTACCCACACATTTTTGCTATGATCGTCTGGCTATATTCACTCTCTTTCTTTTTTTAGCTTTTCTTCGTTTTATAAAAGAAGTGAGCGGTTGCTTTTATTATTTGCAGAGCTCTACACTGCGGTGCATATGTTTATGCACACTAGTTTTTTGTTCATAATTTTATGCAATCTTATTCAACAAATACGTTCTATATAGCAATCGAAAGCTCTATTTGTATCTCAGTTGACATGTTTCTGCATTTTCCATGAAAATAAAAATTGGCCGAGATAATCCGGATCTACCGGATATACCAAATCCCATATTTTCGGAAAAATTTTTCGGAAAAAATTTAACAAATCCATTTGATAAAGCATATTTTTGTGAGTATTTACCACAAAACCGCTTAGAAATATCTTTTTCCGGAACGGAGATATGATTTTTTGAAAATCGAAAAAAACGCGATTTTTTGACGAAAAATGGCAAAAAATGGTATTTTTTCGATTTTCAAAAATTCATAACTCGGTCGAATCTCGACCGATTTGGATGATTTTTTTGTATCATATGTAGAATCTAGAGGAGAATCACATATATTTTTTACAGACCTCAAAAAAATTTCTTCGAAAAGTTGAAAATGTAGTACCTGTTAGACCGGTCGAAAAGTTTTCGAAAATATCAGAATTTCGAAAAATGCAGAAACATGTCAACTGAGATACAGATAGAGCTTTCGATTGCCATATAGAACATATTTTTTGAATAAGTGTGCATAAACTTATGAACAAAAAACTAGTGTGCATAAACATATGCACCGCAGTGTAAAGCTCGCGGCGCTAAATTAAAAAAAAGAGGAAATAGTGAAGAGAAGAGAAGGAAAATTTAAGAGAAGAAAATATGGAGGGACTGTTAAATAAAGGAGGGAGAATTTGTATGTAGAACTAGACTACTTTTTCCTCATATCTCCAACAAAAAGAGATTTTATAATATTTGAGCAGAATACTCCAATAACTAGAGAATTCTACTTTTAAATTCTGATTTAGTTGTGAATTTTGGTTGTTCAAAACAATTAATCTGGTGTTTCTGCTGCTTGTGTTAAGGTGTGTTATTTTTAATAAATATTTAATAAAATTGAGATAAAATAAAAAGAAAATGTTTTTAGAATTCATTTTTTTATTTAAAATTAATGACTAGACAATTTTCGAATGTTTACTAAAATATTAAAATTTTAAATTAAAAAAAAAACAAAATTAAAATTAATTTACAAAAGTTGTTGTTCTGACGGGAAATACAGGGTGGGGCAAAAGTTCGGCGACAAATGTTTTTAATAAAATCTATTGTAAAAAATTTTTATTTAAGATTAAAAAATGATAAAATATAATCAATAGGATATAATAATCATTTTATTAAAGTAATTTCTCAAAATGACCGACCCTGACTGAAATACACGCATCCAAACACTTACGGATGTTACTAACAATGGTCGCGCATTGTTCATCGGTTATTTCGTTCCAGGCTCGCTCCAAAACAACATTAGTTCCTCCGATGTTGCGTATCGGATTCGGCATACTTTTTGCTCCAGAAATGCCCAAATAGAATAATCCACTGACTTAAATACAGTGAGTTTGAAGGCCTTAAATCTTTCCCCAAAAACCAGGAAACAGCTCCCCACAAAGCTGGATTGTCGTTTTGGCTCCATGCGCGGGTGCTCAATCATGCTGAAGCGAGAATAGGTTTGCTCCGTAAAGCTATAATGGCCATGGATGCTAATCCCCCTCAGAATGACATTTTTTAGACTGTAGCATTAATTTTTATAGTCATCACTGTTATGGCGACCAGCTGCGACCAGGCATTTAATCCTTCGACATTTTTGAAGTCTCTTATGCTTCATTCGATTGCTAGGGAAATATGAGCGGCTGATCTTGTAACTCCAAAGTCTAAGCTTCACTCTGACAATTTTTAGGAGGCTCCTCGAGCTCATTCCGAGATCTGAGGCCGTTTTTCACATCGATTGTTCAGAAAAACGAAAAATTCGGCATCTGACGTCCGTTCATGTTTTCAGTCGTAACTTCGGTTACCGGCCGGCCACTACTAGGACGGTCCTGAGTATTTCCAAGCTCATGATATCGTTTTATTGCTTTGAAAACCAACATACGACAGATATCGAGCCGTCTAGCGATGCACATTTTCGAACATTTTTAAAATACAAAGAAATAATAAAAGCACGATTTTTTAACATTCAGTAAAATTTTTACTTTATGAGATAGGAAAAAATTTTCAAGATAAAATTTGTAGAGCGCGAATCATAGAATATGGGAAATCTAAACAAAAAGCAAAATATAAAGTAAATTTTAAGATAGGACAAAATAAAATTTGTCGCCGAACTTTTGCCCCACCCTGTACACTCCTTTCATCCTTCCCTTTCTCCAATCTCTGCAATCGATTTAAAAGACATTTTTATGCTTAGATCCGATCATCTTTAGGATTTTTTTAAACCAGGATATTAATTGACAGTTTTGTTTAATAAATTATTGACATAAACGGATGTATTTCTTGATATTTTATCTGGTACTTGTTTAACAACCTTTTTACTACTAAAATATCAGAAGGTAAATGCACCGATAATACACAATTATCATACATTTTTGTTATAGACTAGGGATGGTAATTTTGTACCGCTATCCGCTTTTTATCCAACTATGATCTTACATATATTTTAAAAAATACTTATTTTTTTCTACTTTTAACTACTCAAAATCTTTTAAAATATCTTCGAATTTTCTTTTCCTCTTTCTTTATTATTTTAATAAAAATAATTTTTTTATTGTTGTCAACAAAGATTTCAGCGGGGGACTATATAGGTACGTGTTCTACGACGGACAAATCGATTATTTTGGATAAATATTTTTCTCATTTTATTATTAGTACATTTTTGTGTTTATTAAAGTTTTTATTATTTATTTTATAAAAATCTTTAGAATTTATTCAAAAAATAATAAAATTTTAACTTAGTATTCTGTCGGTGTCCAGATACAATTTATCTTTAATAAATCCATTTTTCTTTAAAAACTTTAAAAAATTAATTTTACCAATTTTATGTATTTTTAAAAATATTTTTTAATTTATTATTTAATCTCTCTCCCTTCTCTATTAAATATCCAAAACTAATCTTCCTTTAAAAATTCAGCCTTTTCTCATTTTTGCCACTTTTTAACTATCTTCTGTTGTGCATTACTACTATTTTTATTTACTACTAACTAAAACTATTCCAAACTAATATCATCGTTCCGGCTTCAGCGGCGGAAAATTGGCAACATTGCCAACAACCCCAGATACATCTTTCAAATCCATTCCTTCCCTTCTTCCTTCCTTCCTTCGTTCTCCCCCCCCCCCTTTCCTTCACTCATTTTGGTTCTTCTTTAACTCAGAGGTTGTACATAGTATTTGGTGAAATATATTTTTGTCTATATATTTCACCAAAAAGTGTATATCTTTGCCGCTGGCGTCCGCTACTATAATGTATGCTTTTTTTGACTTTTTTTCAGTTTCCAATAATCCTACTTTTTTCATTATTTTCTTCAAACTTCTGTTCTTTTTTTTAAAAAGACGACAATTCTGGATATGACAATTGCGCTGCTTAAATCCAGAAATCCTGTAAAACTCGTCATACTCGAAAACTGCAGCCGGCACTACACCTTTAAGTTTATATCCGTATTTGACGTAGCTTCAAATTCATCCTTTACACTTCCATTTTTATCAATTATACTTTTCTTTATTTTTTTATTAATTTTGCTCATTTCTGCCATAAATTCCTTCCTTCTCGTCTCTTTTTTAACTATGATTTTTTAGTAGAGGACGAGAGCCATTCATTGAATTTTTGGCCGGGCATTAAAATGCACGCAAACAAACAAATGCAGACATTCACTTTTTTTAGTTTAGATCTAAAAAAGTGAGGACTTTTTATTAGAAAAAAAAATTTTTTTTATGAGCGAGCAAGAAAGGCTCTCCTCTATTTACTCACTATTATTCACAAAATTTTTTTTGTTTATCCTTTCCACTTAAAAACTTTTTTTATGAATGGATGAATCGAAGGGTGGGGAGGGTGGTCTTTAGCCATAAAAACTGTCAGAAGAAAATACTTTTTATAAAAGAGGAAAATATAAAAAAATATTGAAAATAAAGTAATTACTTATGGGGGATGGGGGAGATGGGAATTTATATTTTTTGAATATTTTTTGTTAAAATTTCTTTTATTATTTTATTTTTAAGAGATCAAAAGGAAATTTTATCTTATTAATATGGGGGTTTTTATTCCTTGTCACAGAATGCAAGAAAGGGACAAAATATAATTTATTTTAAATAAATAAAGAGGATATCCTAATTAAGATTTATGTCTATTTTTAAAGTAAAAATTATTTCCTTTATTTTTATTTTTTTTTAGAATTCTGTACCTAATTTTATTTTTTTTCGAATGTATGTAAATATTCTCTTTACTATAAAAACTCATAAAATTTTATTTGGCATCTGTCATGTCCGCCTTTCCCAATTTATTTTATTGTTGCAATTTTGTGACGGCGGTAAAGTTCAAAGAAAAGAAGAAAATTGGGGGAATATGTAGAAGAAGTTTTAAAATTTTTTGGAGGAAAAATAAATAAATAAGTTAATATGTATGTAGAAAAGTATTTACTAGAAGGGAAGGAGGCATTACGGCTCATTTATTTTATTCTGGCTTTGTGACGCGTGTAACAAAATAAATGGGTTATTTGTAGGAATAAATTGGAAAAATATATGTATTTTTTAGGTAAAAATTAAAAAAGAAAATAAATGTTTTTTAAATAAATACCAAATGTTTTTAAAAAAAATTCTAAAAAATATGTAATTATTTAAAAGATTTTGCAACAAGAAAATGTGTAAGTAACAACATTTTCCTTTCTTTTTTTAACCAAAAAAAACTTTCTAAAATAAATTGTCTGGAATAAATTAAAAATATATTTATAAGACACAATTAATCAAAATGTCTGGGCAATTTGAGCTGATCAGAACCAGATGATATTTTTTAGCTTTTATTAGGCGAAATAAATAAATAAATATTCTTTTCTTTTTTTAACAAAATTGTAATATTTATTTTTGGCTTTTTTAAACAAATCTTCTATTTATACACAGATCCTTAACCTTCTTATTAAATCTTTTTGTACTAATTTGATTTTTGTCTATAAAGGTAAAAACAACAAGACCAGCGAATCTGATACCTTGCATCCGGATTTAACTGAGGGTGTAACACTTTCTGCCCCAAATTTAACCTAAAAATTAAAATCCAATATATAAAAATTTATTTTCGATATTTTATGTTAGCTTTGTTTGTTCTAATGACGTTTAAACAATTGGCCAAAAATATATTGTGTCCCGACAATATCCATTTTTAATCATCAGGAGTTTATATTTAATTTTGATATTCTTTCTCTATGTGTTTTAATTTATAGTAACTATTTTTAATAAAATAAATAATCCTCCTTTGGATATAATTTTAATAAAGTAATTCTACAAAATTAATTTTTGTTAAAAAATGTTACATTTAATTGCCAAAAATAACTTTATTTTTTATTTTCCCTTTTCTGATTATAGCTTTTAAATATTTTTTTTCAACATCCTCACCACTTAAAAAAATATTTTTATTAAAATTTATTTGGGGAGAGAATTCACTTTACCTTATTTTCTTTTGATTTTCCTCTTCCTTTTTTCTTTATTTTTTTCTTCAATCTTCTTAATATCTTTTTAGAAGGACAAAGTGATGAGAGGAGGTGAATGAGAGGAAGAATGAAAGAAGACAAATAAAAAAACTTTTTTTTTTATTTTTCTTTTTCTTCTCTCAGTAAATACCTCACATCAATGTTTGCGAGGAAAAAAAATAAAAGTGCAACATTTTTATTAGTGTATTAGTAAAGAAAACGAATAAATATATTTTTAAGTTGATATTTAAAAGTTTATCGAAACAACCCAACTTAAAATTAAAAAAGAAATTTTTTTACGATTAATTTAATTTTGTTAAACTTTATATATCTACAATTTCAGCAGTCTTTTAAGGAAATAACTCTAATTTAATTTTTTCAAATTAGGGATTGGGTTTCGTGTCATTTTTTATGCGTGGGATCTTAGACTAATTTATTTTAGGTCATCCTTGCTTTTTGATTAAATTTTTGATAGCTATAGTCAATTTTTTTTAATTAAAAAAACAATTATGGCTATCTGAAATTTAAATAAATTAATTAATTGTTTCAACCCAATTAGTCATCTCAACATAAAAAATTTTTGGAACCCAACCCGAAACTTGCAATATTCCCCAGAAAAAAATTTCCTAAAATTAGTACAATTTCCGGCGACATTGTATTTTCTTTAAATTTTAAAATAATTCCTCTCTTTTTAACAAAAAAATTATTTCAACAAACTTTAAAAATAAAAACTTTAATGTTAATTCCCCTCTCCTCTCCTCTCTAATTTTCGAAACACTACTTTTATTTTATTTTCTTAAATTTATATGCGCATTTATTTTATTTTCTTATTTTATATATTAATTCACCTAGAATTCCCACAGCCCCTAGCCACGCGTATAAATACTACTTCCGTCAATTCCGCGCCAATTATCCGATTAATGGGTTAAAAATAAAATAAAAAATTTTAAGTAAAAATTAAACTTTTTAGAGAATATGTATTTAATTAATTTTGGGTATTTTAATTGATTACTCTAAATTAGTTTAATCAATTAATTTAAATATTTTATAAAAAATACATATATTTTCAATTTTATAATAAAGAAACAAAAATTATTTTTTTAGATTTTGACTTATTTTTTTATAATAATAGTTACTCAAAAATATATTTTTTTTAATTAATTTCCTCAATTTATTTTTGTCTCTTTACTTTTTAACTTTTGATGAAATAAATTAATCAGACTTGCCGCTATTTTTAATTTTACCTGATTTTAATAGAGATTAATACATTAGAGATTATTTATTTACATATATAGATTAATAAATAAAGATTAATGCTTAAATTAAAATAATACACCGATTCCATCTTTTTTATTATTTTCCGTCTTCCGTTTTCTAAAATTCCAAATTTATTTAATTTATAAGTTTGTGTCTTATTTTTATGCCAATTCTTTCCAAATTATATTCATCTATCTATATTTTCTTCATTTATTGTTTTCAAAACTTAAACAAATTCCCAACCAAACCTTCCAAAAATTTTCCAGATTTATGCACAACAGGAATTTGTGCCATAATTTTATTTTCTTTTTCTCAATTGAATATAAAATAAATAAATATATTTTTTCTAATTTTCTTTTTTTATTTTTTATTAAGTATTTGCGTGATTATTTGGAATTGAAGAAAATTTTTTTTATTCTTTTGGCTCTAATTAACAGAGGCGCCAAATGCAATAGCCAAAAAATGTAATTTTCTCTCTTTTTATTTTTGTTAGAGGGGTTATTTTTTGGTGAATTTTTAAGTGAATTATTTTTGGAAAAAAATTAATTTTAATTTTTTTAGATAAAATAAAGAATTGTTGTTAATTATTTACTCTGTCTAGTTTTATATTTAATTTATCAAAAATTTCTTTTTTAATTTTAATATTTTAATTTTATTTAAAGCTTCATTTAAAAATTGTAAAAACAAAAAATTAATTAATTTTGCCTTTCTTGTTTGCGTGTGAATTGAAAAAATAAAAAAATAATAATAAAGAGAGGAGAAAGGGCATACAAACACTTCTTTCTTCTTTTTTTTTTGCACTTGTAAGCAACACATCCTGGTGGAGGGGGTTTCTCATTAACTATGGCGCCATCCGCCAAAAAAGCAATTTTTGTTTATAAGAAATGTGTGTCTGGGTAGGAAATTGAAAACAATTTTTTGGTGAATTTTTTATTTGAAAAAAAAATAATTTTTTGTACAATTTTTTATTAAAAAATTAAATAAAAAAATGTTGCAAATTTTATATATTTTTATTTAAAAATTAATTTTAGCTTTTAATAATTTTATAAAAAAATTAATTTTTGTTTTAACTAAAGTAAATTAATTAATTAATTAATTTTCTCGTTTAATTAATTTTTTCTACTATAATCATTCTACAATTATTCCTTCTCTTAATTTGTTTTTGCAATTTTTAAATTAATTTATTCTTTCATTTTTCTTTTTTTTTTAATTAATTAATTTTTTGTTTACTACAAAATTTTATTTTTAAATTTTGAATAATATATTTTCTTTCTTAATTACCTTCTTTTTTAAAATATTTATCAAAATTTTCACTCCTTTAATTTTTCAAAAATTAATTTATTATTTTTATTTTCTTTAATTTAAAAATAATAATTATTTTTAATTTTTTGTTTAAAGAAAAATAGGTCAGAAAGTGTTAGGTATTTTTTATATTTTTTAGGCTTTGTTTATTAAATGATAGAAAAATAAATATATTTTTTGATTTGATTGATTACTTTATTTGAATGATTTAGAAAAATTTTTTAGTTTTTTTCTTTTAATTTCTCTTGATTGTTTTAATTAATTAAATTAATCTTTTAAACTTTAATTAAATTATTTTTTAATTTAAATTTGTCTATTTAATTTTCTCTTCTTTTTAATTTTATTCCAATCACCTTCAATTGTGATAAAAGAAAATAATAGTCTTTATATAAAATTTATTTTTCAAAAATAAAATAATAAGCTATTTAGTCTATTAAATATTTCTTTCTTTCTCTCAATTTTTACCTTTATTTATTTAAAAAAAACTTTTAATTTATTATATTTTCAATTAATTACTTCTTCTTTACTTAAACTGTCCATTTAATTTTTCTTCTTTTCATTGTTGATCGGCCACCCTAATTCTTTTTTATTTTTTGCGTTGTTTGGCGCGTCAATCCGTCAAAACCCCCCTATCAACATCATCGACCACGTCTCTCTTCTCTTTTTTTAACCGTCACTGACACTAAACACCGTTCCTAATCGTAAGTAGTTTTTTTTAAATTTTTTTTTGTTTTTTTTTTTCTCTTTTCATCGCCTTATAACCAACCAAACTATTTATTATTAAATAAATCCTTTTTATATATTTAATGATATAAATTGTTTAAACCACCCAACATTATTCCCCTGAAAGTTTTTTTTAAAAGAGAAGCTGACGAAAAAATAAGGTAAAGAAAAATAGGTAAAGATTTAAAAGAAAAAAAAAGATAAATTGGGGTTCTAAAAAAATAAATAAAGATTAGGTGTATATAGAAGTATTTTACTTAGCTAACTTTTAACTCTATAACTTGGTTACTGATATATAAATTAATCGAGAAAAAACTTGGAACTCTGCCAAAAAGTATTTTTAAATGGTTACTTAGTTTCTTAAAAATAGATTTATTTTTAAGAAACTGAGTATCCATTATTATTTATTTCCGCTATCTATATGAGTTTCTGGTTAAATAAATTTATTAGAGTCGAACCCCAACAATCTATTTATTTATTCATTTTTGTTGCCTTTTCTGTTTTTATTTCACTGATAATTTTTATTTTTTAAATTACTGATAGCGAGAATTGGAAAATAGACAAGACAAAACGTCCAAATCTCTAAATATTTTCCTCTCCAAAAAATACTAAAAACGTTTTGCTTTAAAAGCGCAATGGGTAAAGGATTCGAAAGTGTGCTTGAACGAATGCTGTTTGTGTATGTGTTTGCATGTGTTGTAAAGAATATATCAGCGATTGAGCCAGTCATTGCTTTTACTAGAATGTCTACTACTATTTTTCGCCGTCCTTTTCTAATCAACAATGACAGACATGATGGCGTCTACAGAATTGCTTATCAGCAAAATAGCATTACATTTTAGCAAAACCAAATGTACTTTTCTTTTATTTTTCATCTTTTTTTTCTTCACTCTCGACGAGGAAATATATTAAAACAAGAAAAGATGCTTTCTTTATAAATATTCTTTTTCCCCACAAAAAATAAGTTAAACTAAAAGATATTTCCAAAAATCCTTTTAAAGAAGTAAAAGTTTACAATTTTTAAACAACTCTCACCTCTCTTCTTGGTCCTCATACATTTTAAGCTATGCCTGAAGCATCGGGGCAATTGCTGCTAAATTTGCTTTTTGAGGCAGTAAGCAACGCAGGCAGAGGCCAAAGGCCGAAACGCTATTTAGGTGAGTGACAGCTGTCTTTGGCCAGAAGGCTTTTTTAACTACCAGTCGCCCGCTTACTATCAGCGAGGCTAAAAAAGAAAGAGAAAGAAAAAGAGGAATGTATAGGGATTAAGGGGGGCTAAGAGAAGTGAGAGGGATGCGCATGCGTCTTCACAAGTACCGCCCACTATCGAGAGAAGTTGGCTAGTTGCCCATATGTTTGCGTTAGTCGCTGATGCTCTAACCTTCATTTAATATTCTGCGGTGCTCCTTTACGCTGCTGCGGAGCATAAAGACAAGTAAGGCGTGCGTTTCTCGAGAATTTTGAAGAGAAAGAAAAATAAAGTAAGAAATACAGAAAAATAGCAAATGTAGTAACAGATAATTTAAAGGGTTTTCGAAATATTAAGTACCGGAACATCTGATAATTAATGAAGAAGTCTTTAAAAAAGATAAAAGCTTTCTGGATTCTTTTTTATTACTCTAAATGGCATTTTGTCCAAAATTTATCCGACGGGCTTTTTTTTTTTACTAAAGAATAATTGACAGAGATATTCTTTATTCGAGATAGTTCTCGATGGCTAGACAACGAGCGTACGTGCGCCGCCCATTAATAGCATCGTCAAAACGAGGGGGCGGACGCTCTTCGTTGTAAACAACAAACACGTTAAAAATGTTTTGATAACGAGAATTAGAGAAAAATAAAGAATAGAGAGTGTGTCTTTTCTAAAATTTTTAACTTCCCGCCCATTTTTCCTGCCAGCCTGCCCATTTCTTTTAAGAAGGACAGACCTCGTATATAAATGCGCGTCGCAATGAGCGGGCAAGCTCATTTTACCCTTTACATATTGCTGTTGTCGTCCCTCTGTTAAGAAGGTGGAGAAGAAAACGGCTGCGGAGGGCGGTTTTGTTGAGAAGCGGGCAACAAGAGTGGATTTTTGAGGAGTAAAGAATCAATGCTAGGACTGAGTTAACATTTACATAGGTCCCATTTTTTAAATCTTAAGGGATTTGTTTTTGTTTTTTGATTCAAGATTTTTATTAGTTTGAAAGATTTCCTTGAGTTTTTTTATTTAAAAAATTTTATTTTGACTTACCAAATTTAGAATTAAATAATTTAATTTATTCGATTATTTTATTCCTTCTCGCCTTCTCGAATTAGAATTTTTTAAAGTAAATTAAAAAATTTCATTTATTAATATTTTATCAAAATCGATGTTAAGACTATTAAGTACTTAAGTGCATATTTATTAAATATATATTCTCTTTACTTTTATTTATAAAAAAATTTTTAAATTAATTATTTAAATATAAATATTTTTATTTTTAATTTTTGAAAAGAATTTTCCCAAATATTTTTTTATTTTAAACAAAATTCTAATGAATTTCCCAAATGATTGTAAATAAATAGTATTATGATTGTTTCCTATTTTGATTCTTCATTAAATTTTGAAAATTAATTTTTAAAATTAAATTTTTATTTATCGGTAATTTTAAATTCTCATTAGACTAAAAAATTATTTTAAATTTTTTAAAATAATTTTTTCTAAATATTATTTTTCTTTGGAAGTTAGCTCTATAAACCTATGCAAGTTAGGTTACAACAAAAAACTTTGAGTAGGGCCGAGAATTTTATAAAAATTTTTTTCTATTTTCACACTAAAAACATAATTTCTTTTAAATTCCTCCCAATTACACATTTACTAGCTTAATAATATGCCTTTTTTTGCAAAAGACCGTTTTTTGCTTCTGCATATTTTTCCTTTTTAGGCTTCTCCAATTTATTATTTTAATGTTTTTTTCTATATCTACATACTAAATAACATGCAAATAATATACATACATAAAAGACTTAACATTCTTTTATTCTATTTACTTTTAATTGAATAAAATTTTAAGGAATTCATTGACCATATTGAGAATAATTTATTTAAATTCATTGATCACATTAAACGAAAATTAATTTTATTTTACTTTATTTTATCCTTTATTACTTTGAAACATTTTACTAATTTAAAATGTTTTCTTAGATGAGGATTAAAGCTTTACTAATTATTAAAAAAATATTATTAAAACTCTAAAAAAAGTTTTTCTTTTTGTTTGTATAATATATTTACTATTTCATGCTCTACATACTTATACTTTTTCCGACTTTAGACCACCTTACCCTCCACGGCATGGCACAATACTAACGGCAAACAATAAACGAGCAAACAGCTTTCTTTCTATCCAGGTGTGTGGCCACACTTTTTCCATTCTATCCGAATGGCCAAAATTTCCACTTACAATTTTTATACATCCCAAAAATTTATTCTACTATCATCTCACGTTTCACTGTCCCCGCCATCTAATGTTTGCCCTACGGCTAAGAGGAGAAGCCTCACTATCACAAACGGCTGCGGCGCGGCTCATTCCACATTCGGAGGGAGGATTCTAGTGATGAGTGGTGGTGCTGGTGATTTTGCGCTGTCAGGGTGGCCAACAAACCATCAAACATGCGTTTTAGAAAGAAATGGGAAAAATAAGGGGGAAGATGAGAAGGGAACGAGGAAGTTTAAAAAAATGGAAAGAGGAGGGGAAAAGCATTTAAAAAAATAAACGAAAAAGACCACACATAGAGGAATTATGAAAAAGGTAAGGGGAAGATGGGTGCGGGAAATAAGTATATCAGGAAAAGCATAAGGGAGGTGATTGTTTATTATAAGATTTTTGTGTGGCGCCGGCGTGTGTCGTCTCGGAACCCTAATATTTAGTTTTTATTTTTATTATTGTTGTTGTCCTCTTCATTTTCTTTATATTTGTTCTCTTCCACTCTTCCATTCCCTTCTTCCTTCCTTTCACCCTATTTATATTATTCTCTCCCATCCTTCCTCCACTTATCATCCTCATCTCTTCCGACGCCGAATTCATTTTTATTTTTTGCCTGTTTTGAGTCTTCTTCTCTTTAACTCCTTGGCCACACATTCATTCCCCAATTTATCCTCTTCACTTTCTAAATTTTTTCATCTTCACTCATGCCACCCGACTCCGCGCTCATCTTGTTGATTTGTACTTGTTTATATTTTTCCTCCCTTTTTTTATTTTTTTTCTCGATTCCTTACATCTTGATTTTCTTTATTGCTTTTATATTTATACTACCTTATTTTTCCCTTCCATCATTTGCTTGGCCTTTTTTCTTCCTGTTTGTTTCTCTCCATTTTATTTTTATATCCCTTTTCCTCATCAATAACACAAATAATTGCCCCTTATAATTTTTATATTTTGGTAACTGGAATTTATATTTAAACTCGGAAATTGCTTTTAACTTAAATCAGTCAAGTTTATCCCAGTTAGGTACTCGTATTCAACACATAACTGAATATACCCCTAAATTATATATGAAAGAATGCTTTGGCCAAAGAACTCCTTTAACTCATTGGCCACACAACTAAGATTTTAAATTTACTAGATAATTTATAGAGGGGAATAAAATTTTAAAAAAAACTTCTGAAATTGTCAAAGGATCCTTTCTTACTAAAGCTTCGTTCTTTTAGTAGGATCTTCCATTTACGATTAAATACCTTATCTTTTTAATCTTTTTATTTGTAAAATTTTCTTTTTGACTATCTGGCCGGCCAAATATTCCATCTAAATTTTCTCATCTTACAACCATATATTAAGTCTAAAACTCGCTCCTCCCATTCTTCCCCCCTTTCTCCCAATTCTTTTTCCTTCGACCGTTCCGCCTACTTCAAATACTTCCCTCATTCATTCTTCAGCTTCATTTTTACCACTTTCCTCCTTTTTTTCCCTCCTCAATTCAATTATCCCGTGGCCATCCGTCACTGTTGTGTCCCTTTTGGCTCTTGACCTCTCATTTTTCTTTTTTGCTCCTTTCTCAACACTTTTCCCAATTTTCCTTTTTAGCTTCCCCTCACAAAAATATAATAATGTTAGCTAGCTTCTTTTTTTATAAACAAAAAAATCCAGAGAATAACTTTTGGCTTATTTATATTCTTTTTTTGATTAACAACTTCCATAAATTCTTTTTCTATTTTTTCACCTTTCCTGACATATTTTTACTCTTTTTCTGATACTCGTTGGCCGTTTGGTGCCGTTAATGTTTGTGGCGCTTCTTCCCTTTCCTGCATGAAGGAAATTAATTTGCAATGGTGCCTATTGCTGACACCCCGTAATTGATGAAGGGAAGTGAGGAGGAGGATATATGTGAGGCATGTGCCTTTTTTCTTCATTTGCGCTTTCTTTTTCTGCCATCACAGTGTGTATGTGTTATGTGTTGCGCTTGACTCACAACAAAGTCTATTATCTTCAATCCTTAATATCGCGACTGGATTCCCAGAAAAAAATTTTTTATTTTACTCTTTGCCTTTTTACTTTCCTTATTTACTTTTACAGCTCTTGTAATAAATTGTGTTGCTCCTCTATGTGGCAAAAACAGTGGTAGATGCACATCAGAAAAAACGACCTTTGCCCATGCGCACGCGTGTAAAGCTTTTAGTTACTCTTTATTTAAAAATACTTTTTTTTCATTATTTAAAAGTTTCGCGCAAATCTAGAAATGAGAGAGGTAAAATACGCTATTCTCTCTCATTCATCCTGTATTTCTTTTCATTGAAGTTGAAATGTTGCATTATTTTTAACTAACGGGAATGAAGGAATAAGTAGATTTTGGTCAAAAAATATTTATTTTACCCCAGAATATCCCCCAAACTACCACCACTGTTCCCACAAATTTTATTCATTTTTATTCCCCTTTTTAAAATTATTCCCTTTATAATTCCCTCCAAGTATTTCTTTTACAATAATTTTTTAAAAACTGTCATGCCCACACAAATTTAATATAAAATTTTTTTTTCAGACAAAAAAATAAAATATTAGACATACACCACAATCTTTTTTTGTTATTCACTTCATTATATCTTTATTTCTCTAACTGCGTGCGTTTCTACTTTTTACAATTTTCTGCGCACTATTGTTTATTTGTGTGCAGCCGACTCCGCCTATTTTTCTTCAACAACAGTCAAGTCTCTCACTCTTCTCGTCGTCTTTTGCTTTAGTGTGTGTTTGTTTGTTCCAGCCACGCCTACCAGTTTTGTGTGTAAGCGACTGCGACGACAATTCTCCAACATTTTCACGTTCATTCTCATTTTCATTCCAAACAACAGCCAGCCGCTAAATAGCAGCAGAAAATAGCTTTTTTCTGCTTACTAAAACTACATATTATATTTACTAGTCTTTTTTTTTAACTACTTCTCTTTCACTAAAAAGAGAACAGTGTTAGAATTAAAAGTTAGACAGCATCAACATAACAAAAATCCTCAATAAAAAGTAAGGAAAAGATTGACAAATTCTGATTTTAATTACAATCTCAATTTACAACTAAACATCCATTTTGGAAAATTTTTGAAAAAAGGTAAAAAAATTTTTTAGAAAAAAAATTTTCTTTGCTATTTTTCAGTTAAAAGAAAAAGAAAATGCTTGGAAGACTTGTTAACAAATTCAAACGCCAAACCTTACAAGATGGTGCTAGTGGCGATGCTTCACCTCCCGCTCAACTTTCACCTCCGCCACTTAGAGATACAGAAACTGGATGCCCAACAACTCGTCGAAGTGCTCGTTTAAATGAAAAGGCTGACAAAGAAAGTGTTGAATTTACAACAAATTCTTCGGTGTCTTTGGCTTTGTCTCAATCACCTCCAACTACGGTAGAATTAAAGAAAATTGAATTGAAAACATTTTTTTATTTAAAGAGAGCAAGACGTGCACAATTGGAAGCAGCTGCCGCTGTTTCAGAACAAAAACAACAATTTATTTCGATTTCTTCTCGACCTACTTTTGGTGGAAATTATCAATTTGGTTGTGCAAGTAGTGATAATAATTTACGCCATTTGGCTAATCCAACAACAAATATATTAGCTACTAGACCTCCCCACCGTCCATTGGCACATTGTGATAGTGGTACTGAATCTTCAGATGATGATGAAGATGATGAGGAATTGGAAATGTTGGATTCTCGTGAGTTTAGAATCTTTTAAAAAAAGGGAGGGGAGGGGAGCTCTTTGAGTTTCTTTAAAATTTTTGTTTTTCATCTCTTTCTCTTCTCTAAACATTTTGCTCTTCAATTTCTTCTCTCTTGTTCATCTTCGATGTATTGGTAAATAGGTTACACAAAAATGTGCACACTCACAACAACAAAACTCTCTAAAAGTATTTGGGGACTTTTGACTAAAAACAATTTTTGGATGATTTTTAAGAAAAAAAGAAGGGGAAGGGTTAAGGGGGAAGGAGGGATCGCATTGAATTTCTAATAAAATATATATATTTTATACTAAATTTCCCCTACTTCTTTTTACTTTTACACCTGCCGCTGATCCATCTTTTCTTTCTTAATACTTTTAACCGGTCGCGATCTCGATGCTTAGGCTAAAACAATAAAAATAAAGGGAGAGAAGGTTTTGGCCATTTTATTTTTCTCTTCGCTTCTCTCTCTTCTCTCTTATCATCAACAATCATCATCATTAAATCGACGGCCAATAACTGAATCTAAAAAATGAATTAGAAAGAAGATTTTAAGTAAGAAAAATGCGAATATATTTTTGGGTACGGAATTGAAAATTTAATTGAAGGGAAAAATAGAGAGAGAGAGCGGGAGAGAGGGAGAAGCTAATTAACCGAAGGAGGATGTAAAAAATATTTTTCTTTAATTTTAAAGATAAAATTTGGGGAAGAAATGGGAGAAAATTTGAAAACAAAATCATTCAACCAAAGTTTTTTTTATTAAAATTACTATATTGGAAAGCTATCAGAGTTTATTTAATATCAGAAAAAATCTTTTTAGTATAAAAAACCGAAAACTCTTTTATTTTTTTAAATCTCCATTTATCTTTCGTTAAAATTTAAGTTTAAAATTCCTTTTAATTTATTTTAATTGATTTTTACACTGAAAATTAAATTTAAATTTATTGTTAATCTTGTCACTCTTTACTCTAAAAATTTAGTAAAATCTTTTATTTTAACAATTATTTCTTAATAATTAAAGAAAATGAACGTTAACAAATAATTGAGATATATTTTTGTAAGAAAATATCCAACAAAGATTGACAGGTGTTTTTTTGCCCTTTACTTTCTTTTTGTATGCTCTTTGGCCAAAATATTAATTACAGCAAATAATTATATATTCAAAGTACATTTAAGCACGCAATTAGTTAATAAGAGCTAAAAAAGGGTTTCTCCTCTAAATTTGTTTAGTAATTAAGGAAGTTTTTAGTTGTAGTTTATTTAAATATTCTCTTTAAATTGAGTTTTGATTTATTTTTTTATTATTTTTTGAGGAAAAAAAGTTTTTTAAAAAAATATTTTTAAGTACTTTTTTTTATTATTTTATTTTTATTTGCTTTTTGGATTTTTGCCAAAAATTGAATAGAACGAGAACGAATTTGATAGAATGATTGAAAAGATTGCTAGTAGAGATTATCGGAGAGGAGGAAGTTTTTTTGTCTGGAAAGAACTGATACCGTAAAATTTTAGAAAAAAAGTGGGGGACTCTTGAATGTGTGTAGAAATTAAATAAAAAAAGTTTTTTAAATCAGGAGAGAAGAAAATAAAAATATTTGAAGGAGAAAAAGGTGAAATTGGGAATCAACACATTGAAATATAATTGCCGAAAAAAAACAGGGGTGGGGGGGGGGTAGATGGGTCAAAATTTTTAGCGATAAGAAAAGAAGAAAATTGAAAAAAGGGAGAGAAGAATAAGGAAATAAAATTTTATGTATTTGTTAATTAATATTTTGTAGTACTCCATATATGTATGTTTGTGTAAATGGCGCAACGGGTTTCGTTCACTCGTTTTACTAGCTGTTAAATAACATCCGACCTGTGTGTAATCCTGTGTGTCTATTCAATTTGTTAAGAAATATGTTTTAATAAGGATGGATGAATTTTAAAAAGAGGATATAGCATCAATTTAACTGCCACTTTTAGTTTGTTTTTAAGATTTTTTTCGCTTATTAAGTGCATTCTTTTTCAGACATTTAAAGGATTGGAGAGTATTTTTTTTCATTTTTATTTTTCATTTATCAGTCTAATCCAGAGGCTTGTTGCCTCTTTTTAATTATTTTTTAATCCTATCGTTGCTCATTTCCGCTTGAACAGTTCCAGATGGTTTCCTCATTTCGTACTGTGTCCAATCGTCAAACAGCGCATCTTTTCTCCCTTCACTTTTCCATTTCTTGGCAGAAGCAACAGCTTCAATTTTTCGCTCAATGCGTACAAAAGAAAATAAATATATTTTTTAGATCTCGACGGCGATAAGCCTTCTATTATATTTATTTCGTGCCCTATTCTTCTCGTTGTTGCGTTGTGCATTGGCTGGTTACCCATGGGAAATAGTAAAGAAAAATAAAGGAATTGAGAATTTAAAATTGAAAAAAATAGTAAAAATGAAATAAATAAATGACAAAATACAAACATATTTTCTTTAAAAAATAATATTATTAAAAGTTTAAAGCTAATCGTTTTTAAATTTAAACCCTTATCTTTGCACATCTTATATGAAAACATTGGTTGATTTTCTTAACCTTCCTACTTTTCTTCTATTCAATCTCTCAACAATATTGTCAGCTTTTTCTCCTCTTCCTCTTCATTTCTTCTTTCAATCTTTTTCTTTTTTACTTTGCCAGTCTGGACAATGTTTATGTGCCTTGGCGTGCCAAATGCCAAAATCTGTCACTGACAGCATTATCTAGTCCTCAATGGCGTAAAAGCATCGTATTCTTCTTTTAAAGTGAAAATGATGTTTGATATAAACGGAAGAATATATAAAACCTTTTGAGAATCTTTTATTTGTTTATGACTAAAACATTTGTGTGTACTTTTAAGAAAATAGAAAAATTTAAATGGAAAATGAAGAATTTAATTAAAAATATTTAGACAAATTGATAAAACAAAAAAGAGCAACGGAAAGATTTTTGATTCTAAAATATTTTTAACATTTCCCTGAATACAAAGGGTTTAAAATTAAATTATTCAAAAATTTCCAATATTTTTCTACACTTTTTATTGAAAATGTGAACAAAAAAAAAGAATTTTTTCTTTGTTCATTCAGTTAATGTTTTTTTAGTTCCTGTTTGTCAGGTTTTTTTCTTTCTTTCCTTTTAAAACTATATTCACAGTTAAAAATTCTCTAAATTTCTTAATCTTTTTACTAATTTTTATTTTCCCTTTTTAAATCCAAACGGCCACCCTGCCTAATTTTTGCGCATTAAATTAAATAAAGAAAGAAAGATATGCCAAATAAAGAAAGGAATAATATATCCTCCTTTTTTCTACCGAAAATATAAAAAAGGGTTTTTGAGTTTCTAACAATTCACAATGCCCCTGCAGCGCCGCATTGTCGGCCTCGTTTTTCTTCCGTGACGAATATTAATTTGACATATTTGGTGGTTGTATATATTTTCTTTTTTGTCCTTTATATGGTTTTGGACTTTTCTTCTTATTTTTATTCATCCCTTGGGTATTTATTGGACCTTTCGAATAGGTACAGAAAAACGTATCAGTATATTGCTACTGCGCAAAAAGACATTTAAAAATTACATTTTTATTTAAATAAAAATGTAGACAAAGGAAAGTGTAAATGGATAAAAGGACAATAAAAGAGAGAAGGGCATTTTAATAAATATTTTTTGTTGTTGTTGATATTTGTCTCTTTATTATTTAAATTTTTTTTGAGAAAAATCTTATTCCTGATATTTTTTCTTGATTAAAAATACAAAAAACTTTATTAAATATTTACAAAAAATCTTAAAATGGAAATAAAAAAAACTAAAAAAACAAACAAAAATTTATTTGAAAGATTAGTTTGGAAGTTTTTTTGGTTATTTTCTTTTTAAAAAAATCACGAGAGTTAGACCACACACTGCGCTGCACAAGAGTCATATGTGAATAAAGAAAATAGTTATTTTTATAAAAGATTAATAATCAGTCAAAATGAGCCGATTTTTGGAAGTTTATATTAATTAATTATTTATTTAATTATGAGTGCGAGGGACCAACAAATAAATAAATGTTTGAATAGAAAAATATTTATAATTAACTCCAAAAAAGCCTTAATAAAGCAATTTTAAAAATTTTAAAATCTTGAGAAAAATTATTTTTCTAATCATTCTTTTAAATCTTTTTATTTTACTTAAAATTTAAAATAAAAATAAATTGGGGTGATATTTTAATTTAAAAATTATTTTTTAATATTTTAAGTTTCGAATGCTTCTCGTGCTGCTTTAGAGGAAGGTATTGGTCGAAGTCCTCCAACTCTGACAAGCTCACCTCCATTGATCAGCGAAATTGAAACAAGCAGGTGGGGGCAATTTTAATTTATTTAAAAATCTTTTAAACAATTTCCTTTCAATTTTATTACAAAATAATTGCCTATTTTTTAGGTGTTATATTTCACATCTCTCTTTATTTTTTCTTATCTTTTTTTTATTTCCTTATTTTTTTCCCACAATTAAATATTTTTTTGGTTAAAGTGCATCCTGTTTTTAGTAAAATAAATAAATACAAAAATAGTAAAAACGTTTAGAAAAAGCCAAAAAAGAATTTATTTATTTATTGTTAGACCCTTTAACTGGAATTTGAGAAGAAGAAAAAAAAGCTCCCCTCAAATTCTTTTTTGTCTTTTTGTAGAAATAAATTTACCGACAAGCTTTCCCACTTTAACATTTTTTACTTAAGTACTATTAATTTTGTTTGTATTACTCAAAAATTGTTTTTAAAAAATATATAAAGGGTTGGAAAAAAATATATTTTTATTTAATTTATTTTTTAAAAATTACTTGTACTTTTATATATTTTTTCTCTAATATATTTTTGTGTGTATATTTATTTATTCTCACTATTTGCCATATTTTTGGGCAATGTTTATTTTTCTTTTTTCACCATTTTCTGACATCTTAGAAGGGTGGGCCAATCCCTCAACTGGAAGTGTTGTTTTTGTGAAAGAGATTGTTTGTGTGCTGTTTCTGTTTGCTGAAAAGCCAAACAAGGAGGTAAAAACTCTTTTTTCGTGTCCCCCCTCTTATTTGTGTGTGTGTTCTGTCATGCCAACGTTTTTGCGGTTTGCTTTGACGAAGCCCGGCTGTTTATGTGTGTGTGTACATATAAATATTTGCACTAAAATTCACCTTTTTGAGAAAGTTTTTGTGGTTTTCTTTACAATTAATTTATTATTTTGTTATTCCGCACTTTTAAGAAATAAAAGAATAAAAAAAAAATGATTGAAAATTATCAAAATATAACTATAAAGTTTTGATGATTCTGGTGTGTTTTTATAATGTTTATTTTCCAAAAAAAATTTTAACGTTTTCTTTCATTTTTTCTTTCCTCTATTTTTAAAGCACTAAAAACTTTTGAATTGGTTGATATTGTATGTACATGTTAAAACTTTTTTCACATTTGGTTTCTTTGGTTATGCCTCATTGGGCAACATCAACGGAAGCTTGTCTATGTGTATATTTACCACCTGGCCAACCTCTATTCCAAACCAATTTAAATTGCTAGGCAAATACTAGAAATGCTAATAAAAGCATTAAAAATGGTGATGGATGAAGAGAAGAAAAACCCTGTTTTTGTTAAAGAATTGTGGAAGGGGGAGAGAGAAGATTGTAGAGAGAGAAAAAGAGGAAGAAGATTTAAGGATGACGAAAACGTTGATGGTGGTCCTTCTTCAAATTTACAATTCTCTTTTTTATAAAAAGGAAGAAAAAATTAGGGAAGAATAGAATAATGAGGGAAATTGGGAGAATTGGATTTTAATTTTTCTTCGACCATCAACAAAAACTAAATACAAACACCGCTCGCAAGTTATTTATTTTCTCCCGCTGGGATTGTTTGAAGAGAAAGAAGAAAATTGAGAAGATAGGCTGTTTGGTTGTAGTTTTTGGGAAATGAAGGGTGTAGAGAAGGGATTCGTGCGCCGCGCACACGTTCTTCTTTTCCTTCATTTTAGCCGTGACGAAGATTATTAAGAAGAATAAAAAGGCCTTAAGGAAGGGCTAATAAAAGTTGAAAAGGATTTGTCGGTCTTTTTCGTTTTCTCTCGAATATCGTAAAAATCTTTGGTGGATATTGACTGAGATGGGAGAGGAAATTGAAGAGAATTTGTTAAGACGATGAAGAAATTGTTTAATGGAAAGGGGAATTGATTTTAAGCAAAAAATTATTTGAATTGTTCTTCAAATATATCTATATCTTTATAGGTTGTTAAAAAATTATTTGGAGTTTTAAATTATTCCAAAAATCTTTTTTACCATATTTTATCAAGAATCATTTTGTCATTTTCTCTTTAAGTGTTTGTTCGTACCTATCGCGGTTTATATTATTTTTAGTTTTTGGGTATATAAAAATACGGGTTTGGCCATGAAGACGATAGGAAATGCGAAAAATAAATTTATTGCGATAGTTGATTACTATCTCTCTACTAAACAAGGTAATTTGGGAAGCTGCCAAAAAAATATAAAAAAAAATTCCATCGAATCAAAAATTAAAAACAACGAATGTAAGAGGGAAATTACACAAATTTAATAAATCTTGTGTCAGGAGATTGAAAAGATTGATAACAACTACCAATTAAAAGGAATTTTTATTGAAAGGTTATGAGCAGGTGTTTTTATTATTTCAAGCAAAAGCAAGTCTTGAAATGTAAAAATAATTATTAAAAGAGGGGGTGGGGGTTTATATTTTTAATTATTATTTTTATTATCTATTTTTAAATATCTCTAAATTTACATTTTTATATAATTTATTCATTTTCTGCCATTTTTAAATCCTTGTTTAGTATATGCACAAATAAAACCCCTTTGCGCACCCCAACCATCATTTCCACTTTTTACAATTTCCCACAAATCATTAGCTTTGTTTGTCAAAATGCTAAGCCATCTTCAAATCTATCTTGTTTCTCTCTAAGCTTGCCTTCCGTTTTCTGGACTCTTCACATGTTCTTTTCTCCAATTATTATTGGCACAGAAGGAGGGGGGGTGTGGGGGATGTTGTGATTAAATGAAAATTTTTTTGGAAACAAAAAACGATTTTTTATTTAAAAGTTGTTTAATTATTTAGTCATTCATTCTATTTTCTGACACCCGCAGGAGTGGGCTCTAATCTTGTGATGTTTTAAATGACCAATCATTATTATTTTCTATCATTCATGTACATGCAATTTCTCTCTTTTCTCTCTATTTTTTAAAATTCCAACAAAATTTTTTTTGTTAATCCATTAATAACTTTTTATAAATATTCTGTTTATATTGAAAAATAAAAATATTTATTTTTTTTTTCTCTTATTTTTATATTCTTATTTACCAATTCTTTTTTATTTTCATTTTTTTCTTCTTGGCACATGGCCAAAACATCATTTCTCTCCTCTCGTTTTTTTCTACAATAATATTTCAACCCCCGCTGTGCTCTAAAATTGTTTTTATTTTTTCTTTCAATTATTTTGTTATTTTTCGAACTTTTATTTGGTTTCTACCTCAATTCGACTTTTTCTTTGATATTTTATGATCGGCGTTGTTTGTCTCGAGATTGGCTAATATTCTCAATTTTTTTCTTTTTTATTACCTTTTTATTTTTATTTTAACAGCCAAACAATTCTCTTTTTTAGCTCTTAACTTTCGTTAAAGAGTACTTAAAAGAAAAAGTAAATCTTACAAACAAAACTCTTCAATTTCTCTCTTTTTTCTTTTTTTTTTGGCCAAGAAATAAATTTTAGGGGGGAAGAAAGTTGGTAGAAAAAAAAAGATTTATTTTAAATAAATAAATATATTTAATCTTATTGGAAAAGGAAAAAAAGTGTTAAGAAATAAATATTGGAAATAAATAAAAAGATTAAAAATATATGGGGAAAGAAATAAATATATTTAAATTGGAAAAAAGATAAAATTAAAAAAATGTTTCCATTAAATTATAATATTCTCAAAAATTTCCCTCACCTATTTTATATCCTTTAACTTTTGAATTTTTTTCAGTAATTTCTGATATAAATTTTTTATTTAAATTTTCTACATTTTTTCTTTTTTTTCATTTGTTTCTTTTTTTCTTTTGTCGGCAGCTGGCAGTTGTCCAAGTATTGGCAGTTATTTCTCTTTTAGATCATTTGTCCCTACTTTGTACCACCCCCTCCTTCTCTTTATATTTTTCTTTCGATGTTTGGAACTGTGGGTGAGGGAAAAAGTAAAAAAACTGGTTTTTATTTTGTTGTTTACAATCATTTTATTTTTTACGACTGATTTTGAACAATTGGCAGCAATTGGAGGGGAATTTTTTTTTCTTTTTTATTGCTGAAAATTTTTTACTAAATTACTTTTATAAAAATAAAAATATTAAAAACTTTTTTCATCGAAAAACAAATCTTTTCGGGAATTACTGACTTTTTATTAAATTTTTGGAAAATTTAAAGAAACAAATATTTTGAAGAATAATTTGATTTAGATGTTAATTTATTAATTAAAATATTTTAATTTTTAAATATTTTTAAATAGCAAAAATTAAAAAAAAAGAATTATTTAAAAATTTATTTCTTCCTTTTCACTCTCTCTAACATTTTCCTTTTCTCCTATTGGCTATTTGCTGGCAGAGAGCACAGAAAGGGAAGTGGGTGGTTTTGTGTCTGTCATTTCCTTTTATTTATTTAGGTTATAGAACAAGAGAAGGTTACGCCGCTCTTTCCTTTTTTATTTATTAAAAGTCTCTTTTTTCACAATCCTCGTCATAAATAAATAATAAAAAAGGGGAAAATAAAAGGGAAACAGGGAGAAAATTAAATTGATGGGGATTATTTTGTTTGAATTTTAAATAAAATTTTTAAAAAATATAAAAAATAAATGGTTAAATTAATTTTTTGGGAAAGAAAATTTGGAGATTCTTGTATTTTAATTATTTAAAATTTAGAATACTTTTTTTCCAAATTTTTTGTTTAAATTTTAAAAATAAATAAAATGGGATCCAAATACGTCACTCTCAGAATATTTTTTAAAATTTTTCTGAGAATAATTGGTCAAAAAAACTTCTTTTTTGAGAACCTTTTTAAAAAATAACTGTGGTGGAATGAGAAAAGTTTTTAAAAATAGTCTAGAATTATCTAAATATATGTTTATTTTTTTGTATTTTTTATTTTTCCTTTAACAAAAAATATTTATTTTAAAACCAAAAAGAATATTTTCTAATTTTGTTTATTTTCTGTTTTTACGTTTTTGGAAGTTTTTTTCTAATTTCCTTTCGGCTCTAAATGTAAAATCAAAACTGGAAATATAAGGAGGGGTGGACGTTTTAAATAAACATAAAACAGCAAGTGCAAAATAAATTTACTATCTGTAAAAAAATATAAAAAAGGAGGGGGGGGGGGATAACAAAAAAATATAAAAAGAATTCAAATTGACAAAAAAATATAAAGATGGTAAATTATTTAAATAAAATATAATTATTATTTTTCTATTTTTTTCTAATTTTTTCAAATGACTAAATTATTTAAAGTAAAATAAAAAAAACTCTCAAAACCTTTATAAATTTATTTTTAAGTTAATTAAAAATTAAGAAAAAATACATAATATTTTTTAGTTTTTTTTGTTTTAAAATAGCTATAAATTATTTAAAATTTCAAATTTATAATTCTTTTAAATATTTGTAGTTTTCCTTTAAAAGTTTTTCTTTTATAAATTTTTAAATAATTTAATATTTTTTTTTAATTTTTTGTTTCCTTTTGTTTTAAGATTTTTACTTAATTTAAAATTCTTTAAAATAAATTACTGTATTTTTTAATAAAAAATTATTTTTGAATTTATTTTAATTTAGGGACCTTCTTCTCTTTATCTATCAAAGAATCCTTTTACATCTAAATTTACTACAATAATTATTTTTTTATTTAAAGAAAAAATTTTTTTTCTCAAAACCTGAACAATTAAAATAATTTTTTTATTTTTAAAAAAACTTTGGCAAAATGTACATATATTTATTTATTTTTAATAAAAAAATAACAATGGATATTATGTTTGGAGTGTCAATATAATTATTATATTTTTATTTATTATTGGAAAATTGCCGTCAGAAAATTACTTCTAAAATTGTTTGTTTGACAAGAAATTATTAAATAAACAAAATAATATTTATTGTGTTAAATAATATTTTTTGTCAATTAACCGGTTATTAAAATAAATATTTATTTGTACTTTAATATTTATATATTAAGTTCCTTATTTTTAAATTACTGTAGAAATTGAAAGGAAATTGAAAAAAATTTTTTCGAGGGAAATAAAATTTTGAAAAAAATAATTATTTTTTTTTTATTTTTTAGTTGGGATAGTTGTGGATGTGAATCGGGAATTGTTTTGCGTGATTCGGCTGAAAGAGACGATGCTTCCCGTAATGTGGATTTGTTGGAGGCTGCTTTAGGTGGAGGGGAATTGGTGCTTGATATTGATGGGAAAAAACAAATGGGGACGACATTTGGCGATGAGACAGCCGGAACTACTCCTGTACAGAGGTAGATTTTTAATTTTAGACGAAGTTCTGGTAATTTATTATTTAATTAAACACCAAAATATTTAACATTTTTTAAGCCAAAAATATATTTTTTTATTTTTATCAATTTTCTCATTAATAATCCTCCCCCTCTCTTTTTTATTTAATTCTTGTTTGTTTCCACATTTTCCAATATTTTTAAGGATCGGGGCAATAAAATGTGCAATTCCCAATAGAGCTATTATTATTATTCTCTCTTGGCTTTTGCTTAATATTTTGCTTTTTTACTTTTAAAATTATTTTTGTTTGGAAAAGTGGAAATAAATAAATAAAATATAGATAACAATATTTTCGTTTGGAAATCTTTTTCTTTCTTAAAAATTTATTTTTAACCTTTTAACACTTTTGGGAAAGAGATATTTAATATTTTGGCAACTTTTTTCTTTAATTTTTGTATAGAAAATACCTATGGGATTAAAAATTCTTTTTTATCCCTCTCCACTTTCCTCCAATACTTTTATTATTTTTAATAATAAAATATTGGCAACATATGTATCTATTAATTCTTTCTCGGTACCAAACAAAAAGGGTTCATTTTATTCTTTTTTTTTCCATTTCCTTCTCTGAATTATAACTCTTATTCTAATACATTTTTACACATAAATATTAATTCACACTCGGTCGAGTCCAAAACTAAAAGCAGAAAAACCCCCAACCCAAGAGAGAGCATTACCGACAAAATACCATTTTTCCTTCTTTTTCATTTTGTCTGGAATAGAGGCAGTAGTGTGTCTAGGATTTTTAATGGGGGGGGGGGCATTGGAAAAGGGGCTATCTCCTAGGGGGAAATGTGTGTGCCAAAGAGATTGGAAAGAGACAAAAAAATTATGAAAAAAGGAAAAAAAATTTATGAAAATGCCGACTGCAACATTGTTATTTTCGAAAATTACAATGGCTACATAGATGACATTGGGCTCTGAATATTTAATGGGGAATTGAGGGGGAAGAAGAAAAAGAGTATTTTTACGAGATTAAAAAGACGAATAATATATTATTTTATTATTTTTAAAAAGTACAAATTTTTGTTTTAAAAATTATTTTTGAGGGACTTTAAAAAAAGAAAAAGAAAATTATTTTTTTTTTCTTTAGCAAAGACGCATTTCCGGCACATTTTCATTCTTCTTCTATCACAAAAACTTCAAGTAGCGGCACACTTCCTTTGCCAATTGACTTCTCTTCATTACGTCAATCTGAGCTTTTTGGTTCTGCTAATGTCTTGGATGACACACCGACACCAATTGGTTCTCATAAAACAACAGGACAGGGTGCCGCTTTAATGGAAATGGCTGTTGCTGAGAATAGAGCAAAGGCTGAAGAGAATACTCAAAATGTTTTTTGAAAAATTCAAAAATATTTTTAAATATTTTTTGAAGGAACCCGGTGCACACCAAGGAGCATTCCGTCGTGTTTTGCGACGAAATAGACGTAATTCCAATTCACAAACTTCAATTTCTACCTCAATTGCGGCAGCCCGCACTGTTTCTCCTTTAGGCGTTGGTTTAGGAGAGAAACGTCGTTGGGGTGATCCGGCATTAACAACAGAAATTATTACAACAACAACTACTACCTGCGTTACTCCTCAAGAGATTTTAATTCATCCTCAACAACCTGAACGTTCAGAGACGCCAATTGCTGCTAGAACACGAGCTGCTAGTATGTTAATGGCTACAGCAATGTTGGGAAGTGGTATTGATTTAATTAAAAAAATTTTTTTGAAATAAAATCCCTCAATTTAAAGGTCCAAATAATATCGATTCTTCAAATGATCGTCAAGTTCTCACAGCAGCTAGACGTACACGTGTTCGTATTTTATATTCAGCCTCTCAGCACCAACAACAACAAAAAGGATTAGCTCCTCCATTTCAACAAATGCCTCAAACAATTCAAGGTAGACGAGGACAAGTAGCTCCAATGTTGGGACAATCACCACCTTATATGTTGGCTAATAAACGTGGAAGACATTGCTCGAAAAGTGGAATGTCTCCACCACGTCCGTCACTTAATTTTGATAAAATGAGAAAGGTTTTTTGTGATTGAGAAGACTTTCTTCTAAATTTATTTTTATTTTTAAAGAGAATGTTAAACAATGTTAGTAATAATTGTAATGATTTGGAAAATTTGACTTTAAATGAAAAAATTCGAGAGAAAAATGGAACTGATTGACTGAGGGATTAAAAATAGAGTGAAGGTGTTTGAAAATAAAAAAAATTTTTCTTAAAAATTAATTTTATTTTTAAGGAGGGAGGAGGGGAATTAAATAGTTAAAATATATATTTAAGGATATTTTTTTAAAAATAATATTTTTTTTGTTAAAAACAACCAACAACATCGAGTCATTTTAATTTATTTTTTATTTATGTAGAAAAAGCAAAAGAATTATTATCTTTTAATTTTAATACTAAAGTGAGTCTGTTTAAAAAAATTTTCTTAAAAATTCTTTTGCTTTTTCTTTCTCTCAATAAAAACAAAAACCAAACAAAAAAAACCTCTCTTTAATTAAAACTAAAAATCTCTTTTTTTCTCTTTTTATTTAAATATTTTTTTGTTATTTTTTTTTAAATTGTTCGTGCATTACCCACCACTAAATAAACGAACAGAAAAAAATTTTTTAAATTTTTTAACTTTTCTCTTTTAGTAAAAACAACCAAAAATCCTCTTATTTTTAATTTTACTTTGCACATAAAAATATTTAAATAGAAAATTAGCTTTTTTAAAAATATTGCTTTGTTGATTTATTTTAGGGAAAAAATTTAATTATTTTTAATTTTATTTAATTATTTGTTAGAGAAATTAATTGTTTTAGAAGAGGTTATTTATTGACCAGAAATTTTTGTTTCAAAGTTGGAAAATAAAAACAAGATTTTTGTTCAAATTTTAAAATTCTCTAACAAATAAATTTCTTTTTTTTAAATACCACAAAAAACGTTGAGCAACGTACACTTAATTAGCCTGCCTATTTCTATATATTAATTAAATTATTAGAATTTAATTAATTATATATAATTATTCTAATCAATTTTTTTCTTAAATTACTTTTCATTTTTTTTCTACCTTAAAATTAAAAAAAAATAAATAAAATTAAAAATACACTCATCAGAATATTAATATTTTTTATTATTTTTCTATTCATTTTTTAAATTAATTCATATTTTATTTCCTCGAAAAATTTTTTTTTAGAATTTTTTTCTTTAAAAAGTCCTCATTAATTTGCCTGTTTTCTTGCTTAATTTAAAAAAAGTTATTTTAGTTTTTTCCTTTTTAATTTAAAAACAACTAAAAATCCTCAACTTTTAATTTTTATTTTAAATTAATTTTTGCACCAACTTTGTAAAAATTGGAAAGTTTCTGAAAAAACTTTCCTCCTAACAATTTTTTACAAATCCTCCTTTCCTTTTATTATTTTTTTTATCTACATTTTTATTTGTTTTTAGTTTTTTTCGGCCCAAGATTAACTAAAAGTGCCACTCACTAAACAAATAAAATTATTATTTTCTCCCCCGTATTTTTTATATTATTTTCCTTCTCCGATCATCAAATTGGCGGTTATCGTGAAGAGTCGACGAATTGCTCAATTTTTACGACGGCGCGTTGCTGGTGAACGTTTTCTGTCCTTTTTTTATTTCAAAAAATACTTCAATTTTAACCAAACCTAATAATTTTGTTGAAGGCCATTTAATGAAGAAAATGGCTGTTTTTAATTTAAAATATAAATAAATGTTAGTTTTAAATAAAAAATATTTTTTAGATAAAAAAGAGGACAGCAACGTTTGCTCGCCTAGTTTTTTTGTTTAGTTTTTTATTGTTTAGCGGCCGATGGTCAGTCACTAAATAAATATTCCTTTAAATTGTATATCCACTTTTTTTTAGAACAAATAAAAAATTACAAAAAATCCTCTCTCTTTTCTTTTCACACATTTCTTTCCCGAAATTTGCAACAATTTTTTGTTCGGTATATTAACCAAAAACCAACCTAACAAAAGAAAAACAATTAAACAATACCTAATGAAAAATAATTGCAAATCCGAGCACAAACAAATAATTGAAGGATAAATATGGAAATTGAATATAAAATTGAGGGGCAGAAAAGAATAAGAATTTTAATGAAAAAAATGAATGTATTTTTATCCGTATTTATCTTTCTTTAAATTTTTTTATTTTTTTATATTAATTGTTAAAATAGTTGGACCTCTACAAAGATTGAGTTATTTTAGACTCTAAATAAATATAAAAAAGAGTATAAATGATTAAAAGAATTAAGGATTCTAAAATAAATTTTTTTAAACATTTTTAGTCCTACCGATATGTAAGGATTTTTTGACATAACCAAAATTCTATATTTTGATTGAAAATTAAAGAAATTTGTATTATTTATTATTTTACTTTTAATAAAAGTATGTATATCTTTTGTAGAGTTCCAACAAATTTAAAAACGCTTCGCGCACAAGTCACGATTTCCTCAAATTTAGATTTTGATCGGTATCTCTCTTTTTTACTTTAATTTTTAATTTTAATTGTTTACCACTAAAAATTCTCTAAAAATTTCGGTGCCGGCTTCGCCCATTTTAAAACGGCGCCACAGTTAATAACTACTTAAAATAAATTTTTTTTTCTCTTTTTTTTTCTTAAATTTTATTTTTTTTCTCACAAAAACGCTTTAAAATATTAAATATTTTTTAGAAAAATAAAAAAAATAATTTTCAAAAAAATCATTCCCTTCTTCACTCTCTCTCCTTTTAAAATTAATTTTTATTTCTTTTTTCACTTCTTTATTTTTAATAATTTTTCAAAAAAAAATTTCGTGCATTTTTTAATCTAGTAAAATCTGTGGTGGATTTTTGCACCTCAATATTTAATTTTTAGCAGCTTTTTTTAAAAAAATAAAAATAATTAATTATATATTTGTTGTGTTATTTTTTAAATTAAAAAGCTTATAAATAGGTCATTATTTTTAATAATTCTTACAAGAATTATGTACTCAAATTATTATTTTATTAATTATTATTTTATTAGAACAAATTTTTGAAGAAAGTTTGAAAAATATATTTTTTAAGAATATAAAAAATAAAATAATAATTTTTAAAAAATATTTCTTTTTGGCAACTCTCTCTCCTCCCCTCTCTCTCTTCTCTATTTCCTCATTATTTTCTTAAAAATCTTCCTCCTCGGTTTATGCATCCCAGTCATTTTATTTAAAATAAATTTGCACTCTTCTCTCTTCTCTCCCCTCTCTTATTAAAAATTAAATTTTCTCATTTTTAATTAAACTTAATATGTATATTTAGATTAAAAAATAAATAAATACAACAATTTACAATCCTCTCTATTTTTATTATTTTACCAGAAATTGCATTCGTGTTATTTTTTTCTTTTTATTATTTTTTAATTAACGTATAGTTTTTTTGCTAATAAATAAATTTGTTTTTTTTTCTTTTGTTAATTAATTATAACAGAAATATTCCAAATTATTTTTAATAATTTGGAAAAATAAAGGGAAAATTATTTAGTAGACATTATTTGCCATGTCAGTAAAAATTTACAAAAAATCTAGTAAACTTAAATAAGAATTTAAAGAGGATTTCTCAAAAGAATTTTTTCTTTTAATCACTTTTCAATGCTGAAATCTAAATTTCTGATTAATTCAAACCGAGATAAGAAAAGGGTTAACTGACATAAATGATTATTAAACTGGTTTAAAGAGTTTCAGTCAATATTTATGATTACCTCACTTAAGGTAGATAATACCTCCTTTAAATCTAAAAATGTTAAAAAAGGGGGGATCAGGACTTCTTTATGAACGAAAAAATCCAGGAAATGTTTCAAAACCAAGAATTTTGGACAGCTAAAAATTTCAGATGATGCTATATCTCATCACCTCTCACAGTTACATATAAATTTAGTTTTAAAGAATTTAAAAAAATTTTGGGGATAAATTTTTAAACTTAAAAAATACAAAAACATTTTTATACGGAAAATTCTCGGAAACACCAAAACTTTAAAATTTTATTTTTAAGTCTTAAAAATTACATATTTATTTATTAAAAAATATAATATCATAAAAAAAATAATAATTAAAATATATTTAAGTCACTCGGTAAATTTAAAAATAAAATTTTTATTTAAAAAATCGTTGTTTATTTATTTAAATTTCTTCTTTAATCAATATTTTGTTGTTGTTGAGTGTCAGCAAGTATTATTTTTAATTGAGGATAAACTTCATTAATTAATAATAAAAGTGCAGTTCCCAACATTGCAGCTCTAAGTTGGATATCTTTTTGTTTTGACCTTTAAATTTTAAATTAATTGAAAAGGAAGGAAAAAACGAACATAAATTTAACAATTAAAGTATTCCTTTTCATTGCAAATTTAGGTCTAACATGTCCCAAAACTGTTTGACCATCTGGTGATTTTAACCAATAAACACAATCTGTGCCCATTACACCTATTGCTTTGCCAAAAGATTGGAGAGAAACATGCACCTTTTAATTAAGAGAAAAATAATTTTCAAGTAAGATTATGGCCTAAAAACTAAGGAATTTGGCCGAAAACATTTAATGGTCATATCTCCTTTTCAAGAGAGCAAATACATTTTTAAATTTCTAAAAAAGTATTGCTCAAAATATTCTTAAAAGTTGGGTAGCCAATTTTAATTCTACCCTCCTCAACATTCTCTAATTTTAAATAAATTTTTTTTTCACCTTCTCCACTCGAAGAACTATAGCCTCATCAGAACTTGCTCTAACTAATTTAAGATCAGGACCAGAAGGACAACGCATTAACTTTAATTTTTTCAAATAATTATTTTTTCTCTCTATTAAAAACAATTCACTTTGTAAAGAGTAGCTTGTGACGGATGTAATAATTTCCCCAAAGAGTCAGCAGAATGAACAGGCAAACGAATTAACATTATAGTTTTCCCAACAGCATTTTTTAAAATTAATCCTCCACGTTGTAATTGAGCGCTCATTAATGGACGTTTTCGATTAGCCTCATCTCGAATTGAAAAAGTTATTGACTCTAATCTGTCTGGCTCTGGTCTCCATGCTGGCAATTGGAGAAGACAACGATGTCTGAAATTTATGAAATAAGAAAAATACAAGCTATGTATGTTCAATAAACATACACTTGTGGATCAAGTAATTTCATAGAAAGTCTTTCCGTGTGTGTCAAAACCCCACATTCGGGCAAATCTTGGAAAACATAAGCATCTGTTGCTTTTTGTACAACTTTTGCTAAACCGCCAGTTATTTGATCTACAAGTTTTGGATACATTCCGATTTGATTATTTTCTGATTTTGTTGAAGGCTTTATAAAAATAAAAAAAAATTAAAAGTTTTTGTAGTAAATAAGAGAAAAAAGAAAAAACAATAAAATATTTATTATTTAATATAGATATGGATGAATTTCAATGAAAATTTTTTGAAACTTGTTCCGAATAAATATTTAAATATTTACTTGTTTGAGAAATTATAAAAGAGAAAAAAGAAAGAAAAAAATAATTTCCAAAAATAATTTTTAAGATGTAACAACAGCTGTTTTAATAATATTTGAAAGAAAAAGAAAAGAAAAAATTATTTTTTAGACTTGTTTTTGTTTAAATTTTAAAAATAATCTGTATATGTATAAATTACAAAAAATTACCTTTGTTGATTTAAAAGAAGTTGGAAGTGGTGGTGGGGGTGGTGCACAATTCGAAATAGGTGCAGGAATTAATTTAGTTGAAGTCTTTTTATTTTTTATTGAATTTTTATTCTTTTTTGTAGAAAAATATTTTTTATTTTTAATTATTTCTTTATTTTTTAAAGCTAAATCTATTTTTGTTTTATTAGAATTTTTCTTAATTTTTAAACCAAAAAGTGAAAAAAATGGACGGCGACAATAAAGTTTTTGTCCAATTTTTGTGGATTTATTTAAAACTTTTGTGGACATTTAAAGGAGAGGAGGGAGGGGGGAGAGGATTGAATAATGAAAAAGTTTTGAAAGTATAAAGGTTTATATATTTTATTTTTAAATTGTTGTTGAGATCATCAAAATTTTAAATTAACCCAAAGAATTTAAAGAATTAAAAATGTTTTTAAAAAATAATTAAAAATGAATCAACAAATAAAATTTTAAAAAATGATTGTTAAATTTTAGAGAGATGATAAAAAAAAGAATAAAATTAAAAAGAAAAGTTTGAAAAATTAAAAAAAAAATTCCAAAGAGAAAAATTGAAAAAAAAGGAAAATGTTTTTAAAATTATAAAATTCCTTTTTATATTTTTGTTTGATTATTCAAAATTGTTTCCATTTTATAAACAATAATAGAATGTATTTTTCATTTTTTGATAAAACAAAAAAAATTTCCCCCTTCTAAAATATATAAAAATTTTTTTTAAAGAAACCCAAATATTTTTGATTAAATAAACATATGTAAGTACTAACTAAAAATTTAATGTTTTTTTTTTAATTAAACTTATAAATTATTTTATTTTAGTTACCTAGTTTACTCTATCTCGAATTAAATATTGTGTTAATGTGTAAATAGTAAATGCTCACCAGAGTTAAATTAGAAAAAAGACAAGGTTAATGGATTAAATGTACACATAAATTCCATTTAGTTTTTTATTCTCTTTTCTACTATTTACAAACAAATAATTGAGGGAAATCAACAGGAAATCGATCAAAAAACACACACAAGCACATTTTTATTCTATAAATTCTTACACTAAAATTAAATTAATCTATAATTAAAAGCAAAAAACATCATTCTCTAATAAATGATTGAATGATAATAACCAATTTGAAAGAAAAAATATTTTTATGATCCACTACTCAACTACTATCCCCCAATTTTATCACATTAATTTAGAAATTGTTAATTCTTCTTTTATTGATTTACCCTCCCAATTTTACAAATTTCAAAATTATTTAGAAATAAAAAAGTATAGTAATTCACATTTCCCTTGAAAAAACCAGTTTTTGACTATGAAAATAAAATTTTTTAAATGAATGAGCAAGTTTTTTTTATTGAATTTATTTTATTTATTCCTTCACCTATTAAATAGTAAAACAAATTAAAAATTTTAAAATATTTTTATAAAAAAAATTTAAAAATAAATAAATTAAAAATTATGATGTATTTGTATTTAAAAACATATAAAAAAATATAAAATATTCAAAAAGAAACAAAAACAAGAACAAAAATTAGCAGATAAATCCATAAATATTTTTTTTTGTATTTTTAATTGTAAATTTATTCAAAGCATTATCAAATCATCATAATCCCTATTATTCTTTGTTTCCTCATGTGATGAAATACCAATCACTTCACAATCAAAACCAATTGGACCTACAAATTTGTTGATACTTTTGGATGCGTTATTGTTATTATTTAAATTATTATTTCCCAAAAGAGAATTAGATGTCCCAACCATTGATTGTTGACTGGAAAATAATTTAATTTAAAAATTAAATTTTCTTATTAAAATTCACCAATGTTGAGTATTCTTTACAAGAAAATCAGAATCATCACTCCCACAATCATTCCCAAATAAGTCATTCCCCAATCCAATATCATCCCAGCTTTGGGACTGAAGATTATTTTTATTAATATTTTGCTTTTGTTGTTGTAAAGTTTTTCCAAAATTATTTTCAATTGTCGGCGGAGGTGTGGAACGAATAATTAAATCACGATCCCCAAGATTAGAAGAGAGATCCGAGAAATAATGTTGAGTATTGGAACTTTAAAATTAAATATTTAAAAAATTTAGAAAAAGCCCCTCCACCTTTCAGCACTTGCATGGCTTGAAGAGTCATTATTAAACGGAATAGTATCTAAAATAAGTTGAATGATATTTTTAATTAATTTTCTAACCAGGAAAATTCGCATGCCAAAATTGATTGTAATCTTCTACATATTTCGACGGAATTGGTTTTAAAATTGAATTTTTCTGATCAGGAACAGGTGGATCATCACCAAAATTGGGCAACAGGGATGGCTGTTTCTGACCCATCAAATCAACCGTTTCCGGTTTTTCATATCCAACCAAACCAGAAAGAGATTTTGCCGTTGAATTTTGTTGTTGAAAATTATTTGATAAATTTGTTTTATTAATCCCGTAATTTTGCTCTTGTAAAACAATATTATTAGAGAATAAATCTTCGGAGAGATAATTACTAGTCACATATTCAACTCTATGTTCATTTTCTAATGTACTATCTTCAATAATTTTAATTTCGTCGATTTTTAAATTGTTCTAAAAATTATTTTTAATATTCCAATTTTAATAATAAAAGAGAAGAGAGAATTTTAATAAATCTAAATCGAAAATTAGAATTTCAAGTATTTATTCTAACATAGAAGACTAAGTATTCTAATACAATAATTAATCAAAAAGAAATTGCAAAAATAATTGTAAGTGAAAATGCAATATGTAATAATAATTACTCGTAAAATTCAATAAATTAAGTATTTCTCCCATCATTATCAAACTTCCTCCTCATTTCTTAAATTTTTTCCTTGTTTTAAATCTGTATAAAATGATAAAATACAAATTTAAAAAAGAAATATGAGGAGGAAGAGAGGATGATGAGAGAGAAAACTTTAGAATAAATTTATAAACCAAAAAAATTATTTGAAAAACCGTGTGCATTTAAATAAAATTCTCTCTTCCCCCGATGCCTGCACACGTTTAAAAAACATTATGATAAACCCCTTACCTGTAACATATTCTTTTCCGAAAGATAAATTTGCCAATAACATCCATAACTTTTCTGAATATGTGATAACCAAAGATCAACTACTTTACCACGTAAATCTTAAAAATAATTTATTGTAAATTATTAACAAGTAAAATTACCATTATAATCAATAACTGCATTGACCAAAAGTACATTTCCGAGTTCAGTCTCAATATATTGGCGTTGTTCAGTTTCTGTGTTTTCTTTCATCTCCTCAGTACAATCCCTAATATTATTTTGTCTAAAGTCGCATTTTACAAAAGCCTAAAATTAATATTTTAGAATAAATGAAAATAATTAATTTAAAAATTACCAGCACAAATTGTCCAAGAACAACACGAGTTTCAATCAATTGTCTTTTATTAAGTTTATATTCTGGAAGGCACATAAATTGATAGGTTAACTCATTAAGTTTTGGTTCATTAACTCTAGAAAATGTGGCACCAATAAATCGTCCTAACACAAAAAGTTGATCAAATTCTTCTTGGCTATAAAATTAAAAAAAGCAAATTGTGATTTTAATAAAAAAATTTTTTAAGAAAAAAAACGATTTTTCAATTTACCTATTCATATATCGAGGCAATACAATTGCATCTCCATATAATCTTGTAAAAAGAATAGCAAAATTAGGAGTTTTCGCAACGACGATGCCAAGTTGACGCTAAATTGTTTTTGTTTAAACAAATATAAAATTTAGTTATTAAATATTAGAATTAGAGAAATAATGGGTTTTTGAGCAGGAATGTCTTTAGAAAAACATGAAGGGGAAGGAAAACGAAGCCGATTAAAATAAATTATTTTTTAATTCTTTTAATTGGAAAATGTTGATTTTCTTTAAAAGATTCCCAGTTGACTATTGTTTTAGTCTCAATAAATTGTTATACATTTCCTAGATTATTAATTACCTTAGTCTCTCCACCAGCAGGTTGATATCGATTTAATTCCATTATTAATTTTGAGCAATCATCCGTCCCATGATTAGAAACAATTCGACTTGCAGGTTTGTGAGATTGGAATGATTTGGAGGGAGATGCTTGTTGATGACTTTAAAAAAATTAATTAAGATTTTTAAACAAATAAAAATTGAAAACAAAAACCTTGTTAGACGTTCAGAAATGTTAGATTTTTGGATGTTTATGTCTGAAACTTTAGGTGTTTGATATGGAAGTGTATTGGCAAAATGTTGATTCTCTTTAGAAGATTCCCAGTTATAACTATTGCTTGTATTTTGATTTAATATTGAAGAATCAATATTGTTTTGTTGAGTAATATTTTGTTGATTTGATTTATTTTGTTTAAACAATTCATCTTCATCATAAATTTGATCCAAAAGAATTGTATGGGCGTCATCACATGTCAGTCCCATCTCGTGAGGAAAATGAGAAAGCTACAAACAAAATTGTTTTCTTCAAAAAAATATAAAATACTTTAAGAGCAACACAATTAACAGTCTTGTTGTACTCCCCATGATTCTTAAGGATTTTCCAAAATCGTAAGCTTTTATCTTCCCCCGATCGCGAAAAGCACAATTCAACGAGATATCCAGAACTGCAAAATTGACCATTCTGTTGTGGTCTCATTAAATTGTCCAAATCATAGATTTTGCCCAAATATTCATTTCTGAAGATTTTGGAGGCTTCGGCTACTACTGGGCAACAAAGCTGAAAAAATGATTTTAAACCGAATAAAATGTTAATCAAAACAAACCAGCAATTTATTAATTCCTTTATCGTTAACTACACGCGTTGACATAAGAGGGCCAGTTTTCTTACTTCTTTTAACAATGTACGAACCAAGATCACGTATTTTATTTTTGAGTAATAAGGGCGGTCTTTCATCAGGAACAATTGTTGTAACAACCCAAACACCCAATTTTAACTCAGTAGGTTGACGAGCTAATCCAAATTTTGTCGCAATAACAGAAGTCTGTCCATCGTCTTCGAAACATACAACAACTCCAATAGCGTCAATAATCTATTTGTAATTGATGAGTAAATTTAAAAATAAATTTTTTACTTTCTCTCCATCGTGACGATAACCCTTCCAATCGGTAGGCGGCTTAAATCGATTTGTACCCAGCAATTCATCATTCATAGTTTCGAATGCAGCCGTTGCTCTGTTTTCAAACCGAGTGAAAAAAGGTTGGACTTGACTATCGACAGTTAGAGGTAAACCAACAATCTTGAAAAATAATTTTTTGGAAATAAAAAATTATATTTACAGGGATTTTTAAATAAAATTAAAGTTTATTATGTAAAAACCTTTCTTCAATAATCTTTATCACGAAAGGCAAAAGCCATCCATCGGTTGTTATGCTTATAAGCATCAGTAAAAATAGCATAAACATCAATAGAAGCATCATCATCCTCCATTTGTTCCTTCAATACACGATCCTTACAACTGCACAAAACAGATTGAAAGAAAGAATCATTTGCAGTAAAGAATTCACTGCTGAAAGCTTTTCCAGAAGAGAGATTGCACTTAACCTAAATAATAATTATTTTAATAATTTTGTAATTATAAAGTAAAAATTGAAATTTCTAAAATAAAGTCAACTGTTATATTTAATTAATTTTCTATTTTTGTGATATTTCGACAAACACTAAAAATTAAATTTTAGAATAATGCACATTAATAGGCTTGAATGCGAAATTTAAAGAGAAAGAATAAGGAAACAGGTTCAAGAAAATTTATAAATTCCTTAAATTCCTATAAAATTTACATACCGCAACATTTTCATTTTTAAGTAGAGTAACATCTTTGGGTGCTTTAGTCTTTTTTATATCATAAGCCGTATATTTACAAACAACCCCATTGGCAATTTGAGATTCTTCAGGCATACAACGATACTTAACCCATTCACAGAGAGGCCACTACAAAATAATTTTAAATATAAAACAATTATAAAATTATATTTTACTATTGGAAGTTGATTATCTCCATCATTTTGATGTTGACCAAATTGTACACGAACAAGATCGTCAAATGGATTCCAGATAACAGAATATTCTTTCTTGCAAATAACAACTAAACCAATTTTCTCTTCACCTATGCAATAATTTTTAAAATTATTAAATAAAATGAGATAATTTTAAAGAAACCTTCACTTAAACTTGAATCGTGCAATGTTTCAACAAAATTAAAATTTTCTTGCTGTTCTGAAAACTCTTATGAATTCCTAGTTTTTATATAATTTTAATAAACCTTCGTAAACATTTTGTCTTTCAAAATCATTTTGGTTGATTCTATTGTTGGAAGCACTGCCACGAGAATCAGACTTAAATTATTTATAGGAATAAGAAAATATTTATTTCTTAAAATAATACATTAGGGTCAAGAGGTAAACCAATATCGGTTTCTTCACTGCTATTAAACATATCCTTCCAAGTCTAAAATATTGATATTAATAGGTAAATAAATCAAAACTAACACAAAGACTCCAAAACCTCTCAACAGCCTCCGGATCAGTACATTTTTCAAACTGTCTGCCGAGTACAGCAAAAATAGTTCCAATTTTCCTAGCCAGAGGCTCCCAACGGTGTGGAATACTAAATAAAAAATAAAAAAAATAATCATTTTAAATAAGAAACCGTGTAATATATGCACGATAAACAACGCCTTCTTCATATTCAACATTATCTAGATAGGAAGCAACCAAAAGAAAATCTTGTGCCCACGCTATACCTTTCAGTCTCTGATAAAAATATTATAATAAATTAATCAGAAAATTTTAGTTCCAAATGACTTAAACTTAAAAGTATTTGTAGGAGATTCTAAATAATTCAGCTTACAGAAGAATTTGGCTCTACTCCAGTTTATGCGTCCAATTGACTTTTATGCGTCCAATTAAAGTTTAAGCGTCCGATGAAAGTTTATGCGTCCAATAAAAAGAAAATTGGATTTTTCTCGGTATTGCAAGGTTGAGGTATGGTTCCAAAACATTTCTTCATGTTAGGGACCTACGCCCACTGGGTCTGGGACCATTCCTTACCCTATTCCTCGAAATTTCTAAAAGTTACAATCGTTTTTCTGAAATTTTTAAAAATTGGCTATAACTTTTAGAAATTTCGAGATATAGGGTAAGGAACGGTCCCAGACCCAGTGGGCGTAGGTCCCGAACATGAAGAAATGTTTTGGAACCATACCTCAACCTTGCAATACCAAGAAAAATCCAATTTTCTCTTTATTGGACGCATAAACTTTCATTGAACGCATAAAAGTCGATTGGACGCATAAACTGGAGTAGAGCCAAGAATTTTGTTAGATGACACAAAATCTATAAAGTAAAATATCCTTACATCTTCATCATCATTCTCCATTGCTTCTCTGTATTCCCTAGAAGAATGTGATGCAAAAACCAAATTCACTTCAACTTTCCACTGAATTTTTGGACTTCTCACAATCTTGAGCTGATTTTGAGCTTTTTCATGTTTAAGTAAATTGTGCACAATCTGCGGTGCAAGTCCATCATGTGATTGAACATAACGTACAACATCCCCAGGCTGTTAAAAATAATAATTTGGTTGGTAAAATAAATTAACCTCAAAAGTCAAGTTTGGGTTTAAAGGAAATCGAAGCTCCAATGGTCCAAGTTTTGTATTCCAAACATAATTATAAAGTTTGTCAATATAGGTGATGATTCCAATTTTTGTTTTATCACTTATTTCGCCCATTCTGTTTACTAAAAATATAAATTTGGAAAGGTTAATTAAGTAGCATTGGTAAAATAAAGTAACTAGGGCCTTACAAAACATGCAAATGCATGTTTTAGATGAGGATATGCCTTGACAGAAATCCAAAAATATCCTCTCTTGCATATTTGCATGTCGGCGCAAATTTTGGGAAATTTTGCAAATTTTTACTAAAATTTAGCATATTTCGGCATTTTTTAGAAATTTGTTCATTAAAAATCATTTTTTTGGCAAAATATTAAATTTTCTAATTTTTCAAAAAATTCTTGAAAAAAAAATTTTGCCGCAAAATTTTATAGTCAAAAATTTATTAAAATTACTTTCGGAAACAAAATAATTAATTTAAATTAATTTAGGTATTTATGTAACATTTTATTGCCTAAATTCAATTTTTTTGATAAGATTTGGTCAATTTTCTTTACATATTTAGTGCATATTTTAAGAAATTTTGCACATTTCAGTCCTTATTTTGGGCATTTTCGGCACAAATTGTGCAATTTTACGTGCATATTTTGTGAGGCCCTCCCTAATAATGAAAAAATAATTGTCTTTTTGTGAAAAAGGGGACAGCAGGAAAACAAAATGGTAAAATAATGGTAAACGACAAAATGGTACTCGACATAAAGCAAACAAAAGGGATCGAAAAATGAGAGAATATTTTTGAGAGCTATTTTTTGTGAGAGAGACTATTTTCTTTACATTTTTATTTTTTGATCCTTTTTGAGGTATGTAAATCCCAAAAATTAAAAAATAAAGATTAGAATAAGTTAATCTAATTTAAAAATCTAATTAGTTTCTAAATATTTATTCTAAATTTTAAAAATAAATTTAAAAATATTTATTTATTTCACACAATCCTTCAACCCAAATTAAAAAAAAAGACTACAAATTAATTAACTACAATTATTTGGGGAGAATCACAAAATTTCTTTTTTTTCCTTTTTTTCATCATTGGGAGGGAGAGAGAAAAGTTAAAGTCGACGACATTCTTTTGGTTCCAAAACTTTTTCAACAATACTGTGTTGTTTATAATTATTTAATTCCAATTGTTGATTATTTCCAATTAATTGTCTGTATTGATTTAATAAATTACGAGCTTCAGAATCAGAACGAGGCATACAAATAAATGGAATATTTTTTGTTGTAAAATGTTTAGAATTGTTTTCTTCTTCTTCTTCAAATTCCCAACCAGTTGGATAAGTACCCATTGGGCATTGTTTAATTGGTTGTTTTGAAAAACAAATTTCATTGTCCATTTCCATTATTTTTGTTCTCAAAATTGGTACTAAAAAATAAATAAAATAATTTAAATATTTAAATTTAAATATTTACATAATCCTCTCCTTCTTTTTAAATTTTTATTTCCAGATTTTGTTGTTGCCAATTGGTTTTTCTGTTGATTATTATTATTTTCTTTCCCCTCTCCTTCTTCTTCATTTTCTCCATACCATTCTTCATTATTATAAAAATATTTACTATTTTCTTCATCAAAATTTCCATTAAATCCTTCCTCATCCCAATTTTGATTTAATTTATTATTTTCTTCTTTTCTTTCCTCCTCCTCCTCCTCCTCCCTTTCTTCTTCTTTATTTTCCTCCATTTCATTTAAATATCCAAATTTATTTGAATTTTCTTCATAAAATTTATCAAGTTCTTGTGCATTACACAATTTATCGTCATTGTCATAGCTGTTTGAAAGTGAATAAGAACGATGGAATTGTGTCAGAGATGGAGCTAAAAAAGAAGTAATTTTATTGAAATCTCTTCCCCTCCCCGTCCTCTTCCCTTCCCCCTTCCCCCTTCCTCCTTCCTCTTCCCCCTCGCCTCCCCTCGCCTCCCTTCCCCCTCCCCTTCCCCTTCCTCATTCCCTCCCCTTCCCTTCATTACCAATTTCATTATTAGCCATTAACAATTCATTTTCATCATTACTAGCATCATCATAATGTCCACAAAGTCCACATTGAGTATTTTTATAATCACTAGATATTTTAATCCAAACTTTGTATCCATTAAAACGAACAGCCAATTTATCCCAATTAATTATTAAATCATTCTTTTGGTTATTATTATATTGAATTAATTGTTGTTGTTGTTGATTATTTTCTTCTTCTTTTCCATTAATTTTACATTTAATTGGGGAATTGTGATTATTATTTGGTGTTTCTCTTTGACATTCAACAGACATTTGAGGGGAAAGTAATTTTAATTTCTTTTGACTATATTTATTTCCTCTTTCAATAGCTTTCATTAAAACAACAAATCGAGGAACTCCCCCCATAGCCCCACAATCTTTTGCCAAAACTGAATAACAATTTGTTGAAAGAGGTGAACGATATTCTCTTTCATCTAAAATTTTGGAAGAATAAATTTATTTCAATTTTTTCTAACCAAAAGTCTCAACAGTTTGTCCATCAACAGAACATTCAGCTCTACTTTCCACTTCCTGTCGAGTTAAAAACTGGCCGAATGATTGAATGTTTTGATGAACATTTTGTTGTCCCAACAAAGGGAAAGGGCGCATTTGAATTGGTAATTCAATTTGTTGGAAACGAATTAATTGTTCGGGGGTTTTGACTGTCATATTGGCATGTTTTTGAGTAATTGGGTCAATTACAATATTTAAATATGTCTACAAAAATTGAGAAAAATATGAAAAGAATATTAAATTGAAATTACTCTTCCTCGATTAATTACCCTCCCTCCAACGAGAATTTAGGGTAATTATTCAAAAAAGGTATGGAATATTTTCTCTCATTTTAGAGAGAGAGAGACTTTCCCTCATATTTTTCTATTATTCTCCAATTTTTACCTCTCCATTTGCCGGATTTCTTCCTCTGCTTGAATCAATTAATTGTGATTTTGTATTCCAAAAATATTTAGATTTAACCAATTCCAAAACTCTTTCAAAAACATTTCTTGTTGTTGGCTTTAAATTTGTATATTTTGCTTCACAATTAAATTTATTAATAAAAGCAGTTCTTCTTTTTAATTTTTTATTTTCCATTCTTTGTCCTTCCATTCTTCTTGATTGTTCTCCATTAATTCTAACATTAATTGTTTGTTTAGATCTATCATCATCATTTCCCCAATAACAATTTGCTTTACAAGAATATAAATTATTTTTTAATTTATTTTCTTCTTCTTCTTCATTAAATTCTTCATTATTTTCAACATTTTCAGGCATAACCATTTCTGCTGAAGCTTTTAATGTCCATTTTTGTTGTTCATTATTTATTGGACTTCTTTCTGCTAAAATTTCTAATTGACATGTTTGCATCATTTCTTCACATTTTGCTTCTAATTTTGTTTGGAATTTAAATTCTTTTAAACCTCCAACAGTTTGTGCAGACATTTCTAAATTATGTTTATAATATTTTTGTTGTTTTGAATAATTTGTTAAGAATTTTGACATTTTTTGTTGTCTTTTTAAATTTTGCTTATTTTCTTCTTCTTCTTCTTCTCCTTCTTCGTTTTCAATATTTTTAAATTTATTTGAATAAAAATCATTCATTTTTAATTGATAATCATTTGTTGGTTGGAAACTTTCTAAATTCATTCGAAAAACAACTTGACTTGCAGATTCTTCTCCTCTTGGTTGGTAAGTGACGTGAATGGCATTTTCTGTTGCCATTAACATTTTACAGATTTGTTCAAAATTGACAGAAGATGAAGGCCAATGGTAGTGA